GCCACCTGCCACAGGTAACGGTAGCCACCTGCCACAGGTAACGGTAGCCACCTGCCACAGGTAACGGTAGCCACCTGCCACAGGTAACGGTAGCCACCTGCCACAGGTAACAGTAGCCACCTGCCACAGGAAACGGTAGCCACCTGCCACAGGTAACGGTAGCCACCTGCCACAGGTAACGGTAGCCACCTGCCACAGGTAACGGTAGCCGCCTGCCACAGGTAACGGTAGCCGCCTGTCACAGGTAACGGTAGCCACCTGCCACAGGTAACGGTAGCCACCTGCCACAGGTAACGGTAGCCACCTGTCCCAGGTAACGGTAGCCACCTGTCCCAGGTAACGGTAGCCACCTGCCACAGGTAACGGTAGCCACAGGTAACGGTAGCCACCTGCCACAGGTAACGGTAGCCGCCTGCCACAGGTAACGGTAGCCACCTGCCACAGGTAACGGTAGCCACCTGCCACAGGTAACGGTAGCCACCTGCCACAGGTAACGGTAGCCACCTGCCACAGGTAACGGTAGCCACCTGCCACAGGTAACGGTAGCCACCTGCCACAGGTAACGGTAGCCACCTGCCACAGGTAACAGTAGCCACCTGCCACAGGAAACGGTAGCCACCTGCCACAGGTAACGGTAGCCACCTGCCACAGGTAACGGTAGCCACCTGCCACAGGTAACGGTAGCCACCTGCCACAGGTAACGGTAGCCACCTGCCACAGGTAACGGTAGCCACCTGCCACAGGTAACGGTAGCCACCTGTCACAGGTAACGGTAGCCACCTGCCACAGGTAACGGTAGCCACCTGCCACAGGTAACGGTAGCCACCTGCCACAGGTAACGGTAGCCACCTGCCACAGGTAACGGTAGCCACCAGCCACAGGTAACGGTAGCCACCTGCCACAGGTAACGGTAGCCACCTGCCACAGGTAACGGTAGCCACCTGCCACAGGTAACGGTAGCCACCTGCCACAGGTAACGGTAGCCACCTGTCACAGGTAACGGTAGCCACCTGCCACAGGTAACGGTAGCCACCTGCCACAGGTAACGGTAGCCACCTGCCACAGGTAACGGTAGCCACCTGCCACAGGTAACGGTAGCCACCTGCCACAGGTAACGGTAGCCACCTGCCACAGGTAACGGTAGCCACCTGCCACAGGTAACGGTAGCCACCTGCCACAGGTAACGGTAGCCACCTGCCACAGGTAACGGTAGCCACCTGCCAACATTGACATCAACAATAATATTTTTGTAACCTGTCGGTGACGGGAGTAATTAATTAATTGGTCTTAACTCACCTGTTCACCTGTTGAATGTTGGTTATTTATTGGCTTATTGTGTAGTGATGTGTGTGTGTGTGTGTGTGTGTGTGTGTGTGTGTGTGTGTGTGTGTGTGTGTGTGTGTGTGTGTGTGTGTGTGTGTGTGTGTGTGTGTGTGTGTGTGTGTGTGTGTGTGTGTGTGGGTGTGGGTGTGTGTGTGTGTGGGTGTGTGTGTGTGTATGTGTGTGTGTGTGTGTGTGTGTGTGTGTGTGTGTGTGTGTGTGTGTGTGTGTGTGTGTGTGTGTGTGTGTGTGTGTGTGTGTGTGGTGTGTGTGTGTGTGGGTGTGTGTTTGTGTATGTGGGTGTGTGTGTGTGTGTGTGTGTGTGTGTGTGTGTGTGTGTGTGTGTGTGTGTGTGTGTGTGTGTGTGTGTGTGTGTGTGTGTGTGTGTGTGTTGTGTGTGTGTGTGTGTGTGTGTGTGGGTGTGTGGTGTGTGTGTGTGTGTGTGTGTGTGTGTGTGTGTGTGTGTGTGTGTGTGTGTGTGTGTGTGTGTGTGTGTGGGTGTGTGTGTGTGTGTGTGTGTGTTCTCTCAATGTTTGCTGATGATGCAAAAATTATGAGGAGGATTGAAACTGAGGATGATAGTAGGAGGCTACAAGATGACCTAGACAGACTGAGTGAATGGTCCAACAAATGGCTACTAAAGTTCAACCCGAGTAAATGCAAAGTAATGAAACTAGGCAGTGGAAACAGGAGGCCAGACACAGGATACAGAATAGGAGATGAAGTACTTAATGAAACAGACAGAGAGAAAGATCTAGGAGTTGATATCACACCAAACCTGTCTCCTGAAGCCCACATAAAGAGAATAACGTCTGCGGCATATGCGAGGCTGGCTAACATCAGAACAGCGTTCAGGAACCTGTGTAAGGAATCATTCAGAATCTTGTACACCACATATGTAAGACCAATCCTGGAGTATGCGATCCCAGCATGGAGCCCGTACCTTGTCAAGCACAAGACGAACTTGGAAAAAGTCCAAAGGTATGCTACTAGACTAGTCCCAGAACTAAGAGGCATGAGTTATGAGGAAAGGCTGCGGGAAATGCACCTCACGACACTGGAAGGAAAAAAAGTAAGGAGAGACATGATCACTACCTGCAAAATTCTCAGAGGAATTGACAGGGTAGATAAAGATAAACTGTTTAACACTGGTGGGACGCGAACAAGGGGACACAGGTGGAAACTGAGTACCCAAATGAGCCACAGAGACGTTAGAAGGAACTTTTTCAGTGTCAGAGTAGTTAACGGATGGAATGCATTAGGCAGTGATGTGGTGGAGGCTGACTCCATACACAGTTTTAAATGTAGATATGATAGAGCCCAATAGGCTCAGGAACCTGTACACCAGTTGATTGACGGTTGAGAGGCGGGACCAAAGAGCCAGAGCTCAACCCCCGCAAGCACAACTAGATGATAATATAATTAAGAAGGCAGAGGGTGAATGCCTCGCATGGTCAGGTTAAATACCGGTGGCCATAGTCAGTAACTGGATGGGTGAACACTCGTAGACAGTTCCGGTGTAAGTTGGGTATTAGTGGGTCAAGGCGACCTTAACCATCAGTGAATTAATAAGACAACAACATTATCATAGTAATTTAACTACATGTAATAGGCTTTTGTGTTCATTGTAATCCCAGTCTTTAATTCATACCTGTAAATCATCTCTTAGATTAATGCTAATCCCCATCAGAGATTAGAGGACAGTGCGCAAGGCTTCAGGAAAGCCTAGCCACTCCTTAGCCTCCCTGATTGGCTAACTTAAGTCGCATCTGATTGCGTTGTCACTCTAAGCCACGCCCACACTGGCTTTCATTGGCCAGCAGGCTTTGTGGGAGACGTTTATAACCCGCCGGTGTAGAGCGGTGGTGGGCCAGGGGGCGCTGGAACCCGGCCCCCTGGCCACCTCTATCACCTTTATGAATGACAAACTTGGACCTTTGTTAGTCCGTCATTGTGGGTGACAGGAGGCCCTGTGGACCACCCACTCCTCCTGCCTCGCACGCACGCTCGCACACACACACGCACGCACACACACGCACACACATACGCACACTCAGTGTCCCTAACCTGCATACCATGCAAGCTGATGGAGAAGATTGTGCGAAGAAAGCTAGTGGAACATCTGGAGCGAAAGAACTTTGTAACACAGCATCAACATGGGTTCAGGGATGGCAGGTCCTGCCTCACAGGGTTACTTGAATTCTACGACCAGGCAACAAAAATAAGGCAAGAAAGAGAAGGGTGGGCAGACTGCATATTTTTGGATTGTCAGAAAGCCTTTGATACAGTGCCACACAAGAGGCTAGTGCGAAAGTTGGAGATGCAGGCTGGAGTGAAAGGGAAGGTACTCCATTGGATAAAGGAGTACCTAAGCAACAGGAGACAGTGAGTCACTGTGAGGGGTGAGGTCTCAGATTGGCGAGACATTACGAGTGGAGTCCCGCAGGGGTCAGTCCTTGGACCTATACTGTTTCTGATATATGTAAATGATCTCCCAGAGGAAATAGACTCATTCCTCTCAATGTTTGCTGATGATGCAAAAATTATGAGGAGGATTAAGATGGAGGAAGACAATATGAGGCTACAAGATGACCTAGACAAACTGAAGGAATGGTCCAACAAGTGGCTACTAAAGTTCAACCCAAATGAATGTAAGGTAATGAAACTAGGCAGTGGAAACAGGAGGCCAGACACAGGATACAGAATAGGAGATGAAGTACTTAATGAAACAGACAGAGAGAAAGATCTAGGAGTTGATATCACACCAAACCTGTCTCCTGAAGCCCACATAAAGAGAATAACGTCTGCGGCATATGCGAGGCTGGCTAACATCAGAACGGCGTTCAGGAACCTGTGTAAGGAATCATTCAGAATCTTGTACACCACATATGTAAGACCAATCCTGGAGTATGCGGCCCCAGCATGGAGCCCGTACCTTGTCAAGCACAAGACGAAGCTGGAAAAAGTCCAAAGGTATGCTACTAGACTAGTCCCAGAACTAAGAGGCATGAGTTATGAGGAAAGGCTGCGGGAAATGCACCTTACGACACTGGAAGACAGAAGATCTCTGGGATCTTCTGCTTATGTCTACAAGGTCTAGAAAATGGCTACGATTCCCCTCTGGAACCTCAACCAATCAGGAAACACCACTACCAACTAAGACTAATAAATAAAAATGTGTTAAACGGTAATACATCAGAAGCTGATGAGTTCGGGGTCTCCAAATTACCGTTATTCTCCTCAACAGCTTAATTCTTCAGAGATGGACGGTTCCAATCGTCTGGGCAGGTCAGGTCCTGAACCCATGATTGGCCTTTGGAACCTTTTCCATCATTATTCACACCTTGGGGTACTTTTGATAGGATGGGGGTCCACTGCCTTCACGGGATGGGGGTCCACTGCCTTCACGGGATGGGGTTCCACTGCCTTCACGGGATGGGGTCCACTGCCTTCACGGGATGGGGTCCACTGCCTTCACGGGATGGGTAGGGGTCCACTGCCTTCACGGGACGGGAATGGGGTCCAATACCACTGACGGGCAAGACAGAGGAAGGGTGCATAAGAAAATAAGCTACATAAACTATTAAGCCCTCCCAGAGGGCTTGTACTCCGAGTTGAAGGTCCCTGGATGCTCGTCCCCCATCAACTCTTCATCTCTCTACTCTCTCTCTCTCCCTCAGGTTACAGTGAGAGCGCCTTCGGACACGCCATCACAGCCGCGGGGATCACCCACAGCGTAGCCCGCGCCTGCGCCGCCGGCCGCCTCTTCAACTGCTCCTGTGGCCTAGTAAGACCTCTTCCTCCTTCATTAACACCAGAAATGCTATAAAAAGACTAAGGCTAAGTGGATCAAAGCGTGTGTTTGGGAATGCCAAGTGTATGCAGGTTCGAATCCTCTTGATGGCTTCTGTTGATTTTCTCAATGAAAATACTGCTAATAGGATAGCGAACAGGGAGCCAGATTCACGAAGCAGTTGCGCAAACACTTACGAACCTGTACATCTTTTCTCAATCTTTGGCGGCTTTGTTTACAATTATTAAACAGTTAATGAGCTCGGAAGCACCAGGAGGCTGTTTATAACAATAACAACAGTTGATTGGCAAGTTTTCATGCTTGTAAACTGTTTAATAAATGTAACCAAAGCCGTCAAAGATTGAGGAAAGATGTGTACACGTTCGTAAGTGCTTTCGTAACTGCTTTCGTGAATCTGGCCCCTAACCCACTGGGAGGGGAGTCAAATGAGCCGCTACAGTTCACAGTATTTTCTACGCCGGGATCATAACATGCAATATAAGACGTATTAGCAAATACACAGTGCAACAATACATGATTATCTGGCGAGTGATATTATCTTGAGGTTATCTTGAGATGATTTCGGGGCTTTTTAGTGTCCCCGCGGCCCGGTCCTCGACCAGGCCTCCACCCCCAGGAAGCAGCCCGTGACAGCTGACTAACACCCAGGTACCTATTTCACTGCTAGGTAACAGGGGGCATAGGGTGAAAGAAACTCTGCCCATTGTTTCTCGCCGGCGCCTGGGATCGAACCCAGGACCACAGGATCACAAGTCCAGCGTGCTGTCCGCTCGGCCACCCGGCTTCCCGCTCATGATACAGTAAGGTTGACACTGTAATGTACACATGATATCACAGCCACATATGTAGCTGTGATATCATGTGTACATATTTGTACATATTTGTACATATCTTGAACAAACATTGAACTGAATAATATGTGTACAAAGTACATAAGATAAATGAACAATTTTAAGGACAGAAGTTACATAACACAGGAGTTGATTGTGCAACAGAAGAGTAGGCCTAACTTGCAACAGAAGAGTAGGCCTAACTTGCAACAGAAGAGTAGGCCTAGCTTGCAACAGAAGAGTAGGCCTAGCTTACAACAGAAGAGTAGGCCTAGCTTACAACAGAAGAGTAGGCCTAACTTGCAACAGAAGAGTAGGCCTAACTTGCAACAGAAGAGTAGGCCTAACTTACAACAGAAGAGTAGGCCTAGCTTACAACAGAAGAGTAGGCCTAGCTTACAACAGAAGAGTAGGCCTAGCTTACAACAGAAGAGTAGGCCTAGCTTACAACAGAAGAGTAGGCCTAGCTTACAACAGAAGAGTAGGCCTAGCTTACAACAGAAGAGTAGGCCTAGCTTACAACAGAAGAGTAGGCCTAGCTTACAACAGAAGAGTAGGCCTAGCTTGCAACAGAAGAGTAGGCCTAGCTTACAACAGAAGAGTAGGCCTAGCTTGCAACAGAAGAGTAGGCCTAGCTTGCAACAGAAGAGTAGGCCTAGCTTACAACAGAAGAGTAGGCCTAACTTGCAACAGAAGAGTAGGCCTAGCTTACAACAACCAAATGTTACATAAACGCACAAGGAAGTTATTAACGGCAATATTATTATTATTGAGAAAATCCGTAAGAGCCGTAAAGAGGGCTCGAACCTGTTCGCTAGGGTGATCACACGCCCTAGCCGACTAGACCACGACATGGGCCAAATAATTTGGAGCGTTGGCTAGACCGCGTCGCGGCGCTAGTTGGCTGGACCGAGTACTTGGGAGTACCGCGAATGTGTGTTTACTAGTTGTGTTTTTGCGGGGGTTGAGCTTTGCTCTTTCGGCCCGCCTCTCAACTGTCAATCAACTGTTTACTAACTACTTTTTTTTTTTCCCACACCACACACACCACACACCCCAGGAAGCAGCCCGTGACAGCCGACTAACTCCCAGGTACCTATTTACTGCAAGGTAACAGGGGCACTTAGGGTGAAAGAAACTTTGCCCATTTGTTTCTGCCTCGTGCGGGAATCGAACCCGCGGCACAGAATTACGAATCCTGCGCGCTATCCACCAGGCTACGAGGCCCCCGTGTGTGTATTATCATTAATGATATATTGAGCATTATCATCATTTATGTTTAAGTATTGATGGTAATGTTAATGGGTTTATCTCTGTTTTGCTCTGTCGCTTTACTTCATCGTATGTCTGTCCACCTGCATAGTGGGAGACGGGAAGGATAGATAGGAATGCAAAATGACAGGAAGGATAGACAGGAGTGTAATTAGACAGGAAAGAGTGATAGATTGGACACTGGAAGGACAGACAGACAGGAACGAATAAGGAAGGATAAAGACATATATTATGACAGGAAGAACAGACAGGACTGCATTAAGACAAGAGAGAATGTTGTTGTTTAAGATTTGCTACTTGGAACAAAAAGTTCCATGCAGCACGGGCTATGGTGAGCCCGTAGTTCCCTAGAGAGCAACAGACACGTGAACTAATACAACATTTCTCCAACTAAAATAACAGTAACCAATTAACTATGCAAAATATTCAACATATTGCTCGCTTAACACAAACAACATTAATTAATCATTGCTGAATAATAGATCCGATTTTATTGTTGTTGAATTCTTCATATATTCCGTTCGTAATGAACCTGAGCTTCCGACAGGTAGACTAATGGAAGTGTTTTTGTCCCGTGCCGGCGCTGGACGGGTGACTAAAGTGTTTGTGTCTGGCGCTAAAGTTGGATGAGCGGTGTTGCATCATTGCTCTTTAAAGCTGTCTGGTCCATGGACCGGTTAAGTGTGTCTCGCTTCACGTTGCTGTTATGTGTGTTTCTTGTGTGTGGTCTGACGTCTGTCTGTCTGTCTGAATGTCTCTCTCAACGTTGACTAGGGTTCACTAGGGCCGATATTGAGGTTCTTAGTGAAACTACGAGTAGGAGTTGTTATGTTCAACTCATGTTGACCAAACCACACACACTCGAAAGTGAAGGGACGACACAACGTTTCAATCGACTTGAGAATGGTCCAGGACGGACCGAAACGTCGTCGTCCCTTCACTTTCTAGTGTGTGTGGTTTGGTTAATATATATCAGCCACGTTATTGTGACTCCTCGTCTGCTTCAGCTCTTCTGAAGTCTGCCTCTAGATACACATTTATCTCTCTCTGTCAGTCTCTGTCAGTCTCTGTCAGTCTCTGTTTCGCTGCAGGCGATGAGTCACAATAACGTGGCTAAAGTAAGTTAACCAGACCACACGGATCGAAACGACGACGTTTCGATCCGTCCTGGACCATTCTCAAATCGATTGTGTCTCTCCTTCTCTCTCTCTCTCTCTCTCTCTGTCTGTCTGTCTGTCTGTCTGTCTGTCTGTCTGTCTGTCTGTCTGTCTGTCTGTCTGTCTGTCTCTCTCTCTGTCTGTCTGTCTGTCTGTCTGTCTGTCTGTCTCTCTCTCTCTCTCTCTCTCTCTCTCTCCTCCTCTCTCTCTCTCTCTCTCTCTCTCTCTCTCTCTCTCTCTCTCTCTCTCTCTCTCTCTCTCTCTCTCTCTCTCTCTCTCTCTCTCTCTCTCTCTCTCTCTCTCTCTCTCTCTCTCTCTCTCTCTCTCAGCCAGTAACCTGTTGCTCCCTCCGTGTGTACAGGTGCAGGGCAAGATGGCGTGGAAGTGGAGTGGGTGCCACGATAACACCAAATATGGCGCCCAGTTCTCTCGGAAGTTCCTGGACGTCCGGGAGCGAGCCAAGGACATGATCTCCTTCACTCACCTCTACAACAACGAGGTCGGCAGGAAGGTCAGTTTCTCACAATAATCCTAATACAACGTCGCATTTTGACGTATATCTAAGGGCACAATTTGTCGGACTAGAAAATGATAGCGGCTCGCGGAATTGACTTACGGACCCGTTTTCTGTTTTGTTACGATAAGGTCATTTTAGTACGGCTGTTTCTTGGCGTTGGGGCACTTTAGGAGGTCAAGCATCGAGTTTAAGGTCTCAGCGACACGCCTCCTGTCTCAAGATGGTCACACGAACGTGACAGAGAATTAGAAAGAAGAGAGAGTTAAAAAGCGCGCAAGAGAACGTGAAAAAAGAGAATGGGAAAAAAAAGAAAACGGAGTAAAAAAAAGTTGATAGGCTGTGGATGGATAAAAAAAGTTGTGATACTAAGCATTTTATACGAGAACAATTATAGAAGATTATATACAATAACTACAGAGTTATTGTCTAATTATTAGTAATTATTATAATATAATATTGTCATATAAAGTCCTAGTCCTGATTACTATAAGGCTAATCACTATATAATAATAATAATAATAATAATTTTTATTTAGGCAAAGGTACATACATAAAGAGATTTTACAAAGTTTGTTGGCTTTATAGATAGAGCTAGTACATACAATGCCTAAAGCCACTATTACGCAAAGCGTTTCGGGCAGGAGAAAACACTACTGACTAAAGCTTAAAACTAATGGGTAAAAAGAAAAAAATGCGTTGAGTACAAATAAAAATAGAGGTAAAAGAGGGGGGAACATTGTTGAGAAAACAGCACAAATACAATTACAAATTATTACAGAAAATTACATTAAAACAGCGTTGATTTTAAAAAACAAAAAAAAACAAAAAACATACATGGGTTGACCATAGAGGGGTAAGGTAGGTTACAGGGAATTTATTAGGTATAGCTTCGTTTTTAACTTAAACTGGTTGAGAGAGGTACAGTCTTTAACATGGTTGGGAAGGTCATTCCACATTCTGGGCCCTTGATTTGTAGAGCATTTCTAGTTTGATTAAGTCGTACTCTAGGAATATCAAAACTGTATTTATTTCTGGTGTGGTGCTCATGGGTTCTGTTACAACCTTCTATGAAGCTTTTCAGATCAGAATTGGCATTATAGTTTAGCGTTTTATATATGTATAATACACATGAGAGAATGTGCAGTGACTTAATGTCTAACATATTCAGGGATTTGAGTAAGGGTACCGAGTGATGTCTGGGGCCAGAATTGGATATTGTCCTAATAGAAGCTTTGTGTTGAGTAATTAGAGGACGTAAGTGATTTTGGGTAGTAGAACCCCAAGCACAAATACCATAGTTGAGATATGGATAGATAAGGGAGTAATAGAGAGTCACCAGGGCAGGGCGTGGTACATAATATCTGATCTTAGAAAGAATGCCAACAGTTTTTGAAATTTTTTTGATATGTTTAGAATGTGTCCCTGGAAATTAAGCTTGTGGTCAATGAGAATGCCAAGGAATTTGCCATCTAATTTGTTACAAATTTGGGTATTGTTTATTTTGAGATTTATTTGATTAGAGGATTTATTGCCAAACAGAATATAGAAAGTTTTGTCAATGTTAAGGGTGAGTTTGTTGGCAGTTAGCCACAGATGGACTTTATTTAGCTCAGTATTTACTGTGGCATTTAGAGCAAGGGGATCAGGACTGGAGTAAATGAAGGTTGTGTCGTCAGCAAATAGGATTGGTTTGAGGTGTTGGGAGGCATTTGGAAGGTCATTAATGTAGATGAGAAAGAGGAGAGGGCCAAGTATGCTGCCCTGGGGAACACCAATGTTGATGGGTAGGGTGGGAGAAATTGTATTATTCACAGAAACATATTGGAGCCTGTCAGTAAGGTAGGATTTGAGGTATTGTAGGGAGTGTCCTCTGACTATATAATGATGTAATTTAAGAAGAAGGTTTTGGTGGTTGACAGTATCGAAAGCTTTACGCAGGTCCACAAATAACCCAACAGGGAACTCATTTTTATCAAGAGCTGTATGAATCGAGTTAAGCATACTAATAAGTGCATCGTTAGTGCTTTTTTTGGGCCTGAAGCCATATTGGCAAGGGCTAAGTATATTGAGTTTGGCTAGATATGAGTAAAGCTGCTTATAGATTAGTTTTTCAAAAAATTTTGACAAGTTTGGCAGGATTGATATAGGTCTGTAGTTGTTAACATCTGTGAGATCACCACATTTGTGGACAGGCGTTACTCTCGCTTTTTTTAGAATATCTGGAAAGGTTTGGAGTTCAAGTGACTTGTTGAAGAGCAAAGCAATAGCAGGGGCTAAAGATCTGGAGGCTTTTTTGTAGATTAAAGTTGGTATCTCCTCAAGGGCACCAGACTTGGTTTTAAGGGAAAGGATTATCTCATTGACGTCAATGGAATTAATAGGCTTTAGGTACAGAGACTGGGGATAGTTCCCTGTAAGATAGTCCTTAATGTCAGTACTGGAAGATGGAATATCATTAGCAAGGGATGAACCAATGGAAGAGAAGAACCTATTGAACTCAATAGCAGAATCCGAGGCTGAAAGCTGACCATCGTTATTAGACAGTAGAGTCGGTTTGTTATTTAAAGACTTCTTTGATCCCAATATTTGTGAAATGGTTCTCCAAGTTTGTTTAATGTTGCTCTTTATTTGGGTAAATTTATCTTCGTAGTATTTAGTTTTGGCTCGTCTAATTATCTTAGATAGCAATAATGAGTAATTCTTTGAGAATTCTTTGGAGACAATTCCTAACCTATACTTTTTCTCAAGGTCGTGTTTTTTATTAATAGATTTAAGTATTCCCTTTGTAAGCCAGGGATTGTTAAGCCTTTTGGTTGTGACTTGTTTTGTAAGCATAGGACAGTGGGTATTATAAAGGCTAAGAGTTTTTTGAAGAAAAGATTGAACTGCTAGGTTGATGTCCTCTATGTTACCTAACTCGGACTCCCAGTTGACATTATCAGTAGCAGTTATAAAATTGTCTATAGCAGTTTCATTGTGTAGTCTAAAACGTATCTCTCTTGACTCAAGAGGTGGTTTGCTAATGTTAGTTAAGAGAAATGTGGGGTAATGGTCTGTAGTGCTATCGGTGATTATACCTGAAGTAAGCGGAGAGGTTATATTTGTCCAGATGTGATCTAGAGTCGTGGCAGTGCTATCAGTGATTCTAGTAGGTCTAGTGATTAAGGGTATGAGGAAGCAGGAATTCATACAGTTGAGGAAGCTAACAGCAGTAGAGTGTTCTGGCTCGCAGAGGTCAATATTAAAGTCCTCTGCGATAATTAGATGGTTTTTGTTCAGTCTGTTATCAAGTATTAGATTTCTAAGGTTTGAGTTGAATTCGGACACATCAGTGTTAGGAATTCTATAAACTGCACCCACAGTCAGGATAGACTCGGCACGACAGGATACACTCGGCACTAATCATATAAATGATTATATCAATGATTACAGATGATTTAAGATAATTCACAAGATTATAGATACTTAGGAAGTTTTCAGATAATATACTCATTATAGATTAACAAATTTAATAGTTATAGATAATCCTTATGAATTAGGTAATGATATTGGTATATAATCATTTTAAAGATCTTACATGTGCATATATATATATATGTTATATATGTCATGTATATAAGAGCCACATATGTACACGTATGTATAAAGAGCCACATATGTATAAAGAGTCACATTGTAGCACCTTTATCTGACGCTGTCATTGTAGCTCCTTTGTCTGACGCTGTCATTGTAGCTCCTTTGCCTGGCGCCGTCATTGTAGCACTGATATCTTCCCAAAGCCTTATCATTCCTGAAACTCCACAGCTAATCCGGAGAAACAGGGAGGTGAGGTGCAAGTGCCACGGGATGTCAGGGTCGTGTGAGGTCAGGACCTGCTGGAAAGCCGCGCCGGACTTTCGTCTGGTCGGTGACATCCTCCATGAGAAGTACCTCAGCGCTCGGTCGGCCGCCTCAGAAGTCTTCGGTAACTCGGCCAATACAGCGCGCAAATATCGCCCCGTCAGGAGGTGAGTGGTGGTAGATGGTGGTGGTAGGTGGTAGATGGTGGTAGAATATGGTAGATGGTGGTTGGGTTACTGATGGTTATGATAGTGGTTGATTTAGAGAGGTGTTGACGCTACATTTCCGGGGTGTTGATCTCTGGGTGAGGCTATACTTGTAGCCTCGCCTGGCGCCGTTATTTTAGTACCTTTGTGTGGCGCCGTCATTGTAGCACCTTTGTCTGGCGCCGTCATTGTAGCACATTTGTCTGGCGCCGTCATTGTAGCTCCTTTGCCTGGCGCTGTCATTGTAGCATCTTTGTCTGGTGCTGTCATTGTAGCATCTTTGTCTGGTGCTGTCATTGTAGCATCTTTGTCTGGTGCTGTCATTGTAGCATCTTTGTCTGGCGCTGTCATTGTAGCATCTTTGTCTGGTGCTGTCATTGTAGCTACTTTGTCTGGCGCTGTCATTGTAGCACCTTTGTCTGGCGCCGTCATTGTGGCACCTTTGTCTGGCGCCGTCATTGTAGCTCCTTTGTCCGGCGCCGTCATTGTAGCACCTTTGCCTAGCGCCGTCATTGTAGCACCTTTGCCTGGCGCCGTCATTGTAGCTCCTTTGTCTGGCGCCGTCATTGTTGCTCCTCTGCCTGGCGCCGTCATTGTAGCTCCTTTGTCTGGCGCCGTCATTGTAGCACCTTTGCCTGGCGCCGTCATTGTAGCTCCTTTGTCTGGCGCCGTCATTGTAGCGCCGTCATTGTAGCACTGATATCTTCCCAAAGCCTCATCATTCCTAAAACTCACTGTTAATTGTGTCCTACGTCCTTCAATGTCCTTCTCTGGTGATCTTAGACGCGTTGTTTATATATAAGGTCGGTTACTTAACTATAATTCTCTTGCTTTACCTTGTGCAGGGAAATCAGTCCGGACTCCCCGCTCCTGTACGTGGAAAAGTCCCCGACGTTCTGCGAGGAGGACGGGCGGCTGGACGTGGCGGGAACTCTGGGCCGGCACTGCAACAGGACTTCCACCGGAGCGGACTCGTGCACGACGCTCTGCTGCGGGAGAGGCTACGACCAGAGGCGCGAGGTTGTCACTAAGAAGTGTAACTGCCGGTTTAAGTGGTGCTGTAAGGTCACTTGTCAAGATTGTTCCGAGGAGAAGTGGATTTCCGTCTGCAAGTGAGGACGGACTAGCCGGATCCCGGCGTGCCTGGCCGTGCCTGGGCGTGCCTGGGCGTGTCTGAGAGTCCCTGGACGTGCCTGAGAGTCCCTGGGCGTGCCTGAGAGTCCCTGGGCGTGCCTGAGAGTCCCTGGGCGTGCCTGGGCGTGCCTGAGAGTCCCTGGGCGTGCCTGAGAGTCCCTGGGCGTGCCTGAGAGTCCCTGGGCGTGCCTGAGAGTCCCTGGGCGTGCCTGAGAGTCCCTGGGCGTGCCTGGGCGTGCCTGAGAGTCCCTGGGCGTGCCTGGGCGTGCCTGAGAGTCCCTGGGCGTGCCTGGGCGTGCCTGAGAGTCCCTGGGCGTGCCTGGGCGTGCCTGAGAGTCCCTGGGCGTGCCTGAGAGTCCCTGGGCGTGCCTGGGCGTGCCTGAGAGTCCCTGGGCGTGCCTGAGAGTCCCTGGGCGTGCCTGGCCGTGCCTGTGCGTGCTTGGGCGAGCCTGGGCGTGCCTGAGAGTCCCTGGGCGTGCCTGAGAGTCCCTGGACGTGCCTGAGAGTCCGTGGGCGTGCCTGAACGTGTCTGGGCGTGCCTGAGAGTCCTTGGGCGTGCCGGGGCGTGTCTGGGCGTGCCTGGGCGTGTCTGGGCGTGCCTGGGCGTGCCTGGGCGTGTCTGGGCGTGCCTGGGTGTGTCTGAGAGTCCCTGGGCGTGCCTGGGCATGTCTGGGCGTGCCTGGGCGTGCCTGAGAGTCCCTAGGCGTTCCTGGGCGTGCCTGAGAGTCCCTGGGCGTGCCTGGGCGTGTCTGGGCGTGCCTGAGAGTCCCTGGGCGTGCCTGAGAGTCCCTGGGCGTGCCTCGGCGTGCCTGAGAGTCCCTGGGCGTGCCTGGGCGTGCCTGAGAGTCCCTGGGCGTGCCTGAGAGTCCCTGGGCGTGCATGGGCGTGCCTGAGAGTCCCTGGGCGTGTCTGGGCGTGCCTGAGAGTCCCTGGGCGTGCCTGGGCGTGCCTGAGAGTCCCTGGGCGTGCCTGAGAGTCCCTGGGCGTGCCTGGGCGTGCCTGAGAGTCCCTGGGCGTGCCTGGGCGTGCCTGAGAGTCCCTGGGCGTGCATGGGCGTGCCTGAGAGTCCCTGGGCGTGTCTGGGCGTGCCTGGGCGTGCATGGCCGTGCCTGAGAGTCCCTGGGCGTGCCTGAGAGTCCCTGGGCGTGCCTGGGCGTGCCTCATACACACGCCCCAGAACTTGTGGAGTGTGAAAGTGACTGAGGAACCCCCATGGGGTTGTGTGTTAAATAACAAACTACTGGTACCACACATTGTTGTAAACCGCTGAAGCACTGAAACTGTATTTATGCATACGTATATATGTATACATATATGTAATAATACATGATCCACGGCATCAAAAAAGTTGCCAAGTAGCAAAGTATTTAAGAAGAGCGAGGATGTCAACTTCGCAACTGAAGGGAAGGAGTTGCCACTGAGAGAATGAAAGACTTTCCATGAATCTACACAACGGACTCTCCCTACGTCGACGGTGATCCCAACGGAACTATGACTAGGGATATAGTGAGTGATTCAAAACTGTCCAAGAGTTAAAGCATTAGAATTGGCTTTAATGAGAACAGTGAGAGCAAAACAGACTCGAGCACCGGTGGCTGGAGGCAGTGGGCGGGACGCCGGCGTCTCTTGCGTTCGTTATTAAACGAAAACACTGAACTTGAATTCAAATTTTGAGTTTGAATTCAAAATTTTAACCGAAAAGGGGAATTACGAGATGCGCATCAAGGGGCGAATGAAAATTGTAAATCATTTTCTCTATATTCTCTACAGGCAGTTACAACTGTACCCGTGTGTCTGTAATATTGTATTCATAAACACATTATAATTATTACACTATTATGTTTATATAAATCATGCTAAACCTGTGTATACCTGTGTAAATGTGTAATGTATCTTACACTTTGTTTTAAAATCTGAATATTCCTGAGATATATATATATATATATTACTTATGTACAAACACTATCTCTACATAGTTTTATTTATTATTCCATATGTTTATTTTGTACAAAGAAAACGTTTATTTTCCGCTGTTCCAACGTAAACTCATCAAAACCGTAAACTGAATACTTTTTCCTAATATATACATATATCTTGAATATTTCAGGACTTGTGTGAAATTAAAAAATGCTGACAAGTGTGTTGTAATGTTCAATGATTTGTATTATTAATGACTCCAACAAAAGAACAGGTTGTGAGAATAGTTCTGCTAGAATTTACCTACTTAAAATTATCTGTTAGATTCAGGACCTGCCCGAAACGTACTAGTGGCTTTACAAGATTGTAAATACTATGCTATGTATTCTCTCTAACCCAATGTACCTTCTTGTATATAAATAAATAAATAAATTGAAGTTACCCAAGATTACTCCACGATGTGGTTCAAGGACTTCAGGGTCTTAAGACTTCTCTGAATGTTCTTCATATGATGCTTATGTTGATCGGTAAGTTAAGGTAATTGTCAACAGTAAGCACTAAGCCAGTGTGACTGTAGCACTAAGCCAGCGTGACTATATAGCACTAAGCCAGCGTGACTATATAGCACTAAGCCAGCGTGACTATATAGCACTAAGCCAGCGTGACTATAGCACTAAGCCAGCGTGACTATATAGCACTAAGCCAGCGTGACTATAGCACTAAGCCAGCGTGACTATATAGCACTAAGCCAGCGTAACTATATGGCACTAAGCCAGCGTGACTATATAGCACTAAGCCAGCGTGACTATATGGCACTAAGCCAGTGTGACTATATAGCACTAAGCCAGCGTGACTATATAGCACTAAGCCAGCGTGACTATATAGCACTAAGCCAGTGTGACTATGTAGCACTAAGCCAGCGTGACTATATAGCACTAAGCCAGCGTGACTATAGCACTAAGCCAGCGTGACTATATAGCACTAAGCCAGCGTGACTATATAGCACTAAGCCAGTGTGACTATATAGCACTAAGCCAGCGTGACTATATAGCACTAAGCCAGCGTGACTATATAGCACTAAGCCAGTGTGACTATATAGCACTAAGCCAGTGTGACTATATAGCACTAAGCCAGCGTGACTATATAGCACTAAGCCAGCGTGACTATAGCACTAAGCCAGCGTGACTATATAGCACTAAGCCAGCGTGACTATATGGCACTAAGCCAGTGTGACTATATAGCACTAAGCCAGCGTGACTATATAGCACTAAGCCAGCGTGACTATAGCACTAAGCCAGCGTGACTATATAGCACTAAGCCAGCGTGACTATAGCACTAAGCCAGCGTGACTATATAGCACTAAGCCAGCGTGACTATAGCACTAAGCCAGCGTGACTATATAACACTAAGCCAGCGTGACTATATAGCACTAAGCCAGTGTGACTATATAGCACTAAGCCAGCGTGACTATATAGCACTAAGCCAGCGTGACTATAGCACTAAGCCAGCGTGACTATATAGCACTAAGCCAGCGTGTCTATATGCACTAAGCAGCACTAAGCCAGCGTGACTAAGCGTGACAGCACTAAGCCAGTGTGACTATATAGCACTAAGCCAGCGTGTGCGTGACTATAGACTGATATAGCACTAAGCCGTGACGCACTAAGCCACTATATAGCACTAAGCCAGCGTGACTATAGCACTAAGCCAGCGTGACTATATAGCACTAAGCCAGCGTGACTATAGCACTAAGCCAGCGTGACTATATAGCACTAAGCCAGCGTGACTATATAGCACTAAGCCAGCGTGACTATATAGCACTAAGCCAGCGTGACTATATAGCACTAAGCCAGCGTGACTATAGCACTAAGCCAGCGTGACTATATAGCACTAAGCCAATTCTCTCACGATGCACTTGCAAGCATCATCCCACTATTACTCTCAAGACGAATCTCATCTTAACCTACAGTTTCCACCCCACAGGGTTATTAAGACATTGAACCGCCTACCCGCCGTAGCTGTAGATGTCAAAACTCTTGAACTTTTAAAGTACTGTTGGAAAAGATCAAGGCAAATGGGCGGGGGACTTACGACAATCCGCTGGCTTCCTGTCCTCATCGAGGCCATTAGTGGCTCTCAGGTAAACTCGGGTACACTCAAATTCCTCAAGTGTTATTCTCCACCTAACAACTTTCTCCACAGTCCCCCCTGTACAACACCATAAAAAACAATAATGAAGACAACACAGAAAACGTATAAATACTCTGGCTGCTAACCCCAAACTACAGCAAATTCAACAAACTCCTTTGTCCCTCATACCCACCCCCTCGGCCACTTTGAAAATGTCCCCCACCCACGGGAGACATCTCCCGTCACGCAGGGTGCAGTCGCACCTCCACAGATCTCCAGTATCAGCTCTTGATACTGGTAATGGCTTAAAAGGGCCACCACTTACGGGTTATTCATGCCCGTGCCACCTTTTGGGTGCCTTAATCTTCATCATCATCATCATCCCACCACCCAAGGCAGCAGGAACACCCCGAGTGCTGCCACTCTTCTGCTCACCACACAAATATAACTACGTGTTCAGAATGGTCCACGAATGGAAATCTACACCAACCCCCATCAGCATCTTCCTCCAGATATTCCTCTCTAAAGAGGAATATCTGAATTTACCAGAGGGCCTCTAACAATATTGAAAGGAAGCCAGCGGCTTGTCAAAGGTCCCCATGTTTGTCCTGAGGATTTTTTCAAGCTGGATTTTAAAATTCAAATTCAACCTTACACGAAACTTTCCCCTAAAATAATAAACGATTGTTTTGAAAGATACGACATGCATCTTACTGGAATAGTGATCATCTATATAAATTAAAATGGAAATGTTCGTTTGTTCAAAATCGCTAATCTCCGAAAGTTCTTTACCGATTGCTTTGAAATTTTCACACAACGTTCCATTCGCATCCGAGCAGGTTTTTATATACATACTATATAGATGTCCCGTCTGTGACGGAAAAAAACATGGTTTTTTTAAAAACTGTGTTTTTTCATATTTTTTTCATACGAGGGAAATCTTCGAAACCTCTTTACCGATTGCTTTGAAATTTTGACACGACGTTGCATTCGAAGACACGTGTTTTTATATACCTACTATATACATGCCTCACCTGTAACAGGAAAAAACATGTTTTTTGGAAAAACAGTACCATTTGTTGGACGTAAGAGCAACACACGCTGTAATCTCCAAAAGTTGTTCACCAATTGCTTTGAAATTTTGACAACGTTCCATTCGAAAAAAACACATGCTTTTATATACCTACTATATAGATGTCACACCTGTGACAGGTAAAAACGTGCTTTTTTGGAAAAACAGAGCCATCTGTTGCACTTAAGAGCAACACACGCTGTACTAAATATGTTATGATTCCATTTCAAGGTTTCTGATTTCATTGATAAATTTAATTTTCAGATTTTTATTTATTTTCGTTTTGATTTAATTATTTTGTGACATTGCGTTGGAATTGAGCTGTGTTGTTTACCATGCCATTCATTTTGTGAGTATTGTTTATTTTGTATATTTTCATTGTTTTTCATTTCGTTTTTTAACTTTTTCTTACATTTCAGTGATGGGAACATCAGATCATTTGGTAATGCATCGGACGAGGGAGTGGGGAATGTTGGGGAGGACGAGGGGACAGGGGAGTTGGGGACGAGGGAAGGGGGTAATGATGGGGAGGCTGAGGGGACGGGGGAGTTGGGGATGAGGGGCAGGGAAATAGGGGATGGTGGGTAGTACGAGGGGACAGGGGAGGGGGTAATGGTGGGAAAGACGAGAGGATGGGGGAAGTAGGGGATAGTGGGGACGAGGGGGACCAGGGAGTGAAGAATGGTGGGGAGGACAAGGGGACAGGGGAGGGGGATGATGGGGGAGGTCGAGGGGATGGGAGAGGGAGAATGGTGGGAAGATCGAGGGGACAGGGGAGTGTGGGAATGGTGGGGTGGACGAGGGGATGGGGAGGGGGGAATGGTGGAGGAAAGGGGGAGGGACTGGGGAGGTTGCCGAGCCACAGCAACGCGTGGCCGGGTACTGCTAGTATTAAAGATAAATTCGCAGTTGAAATGGATTATGCTTCACACAATACCCTGAAGCCACCAGAACACTTAAAACCATACAATTTAATGCCCAGGCATTCTTTAATATTCAATATGTGGTGGCTTATTTTATTGAGACCGTGAGAACTGATCTGCTACTTTTAAACACTACCCCACATTACGAACTCGCATCGGACATTATGGCCACACCACACAAAATACAGCAGATAAATCTACTGCATTTGCAATCGACTTGAGAATGGTCCAGGACGGACCGAAACGTCGTCGTCCCTTCACCTTCTAGTGTGTGGTCTGGTCAACTAGATACACATTTTAGGACAGGTGATACTCACAGTAGGGAGCCCAAATTAGCCACAGGGGTACTCAAATCCTTGATACTTCAAGGATGAATCTGTTTCCATCAAGGTCTTCTGAATTTCCATCCTCAGTTAGCAATCAAGTGGAGCGAGCCACAACACAGCGAGGTGGAGGATCGTTCACCAGCCATGGTTGCTAGATACAAACAGACCTTCTTGACAAAGCAGCCTACTCGAAGACTTTTTTCAATATGAAACCGTTTACTATAGGCCCTGGGCAGCATATGGTTGCCCTGTTTTCTACTTGGGATGTTTAAATTTTGTGGTATATCATAAGGCCCCAGTCATGATGAGCAGTTTGTGGAAAATGAGCCATCTGGGAGGCACAGTGGCTGCGTTAAACAAAATACAAGATACAAAACAATAAAATCTTCCCATAGTAGGAAAGCAACACGTGAAGGCTTGGTGAATAATATCCGACGACCTGACGTTTAGCAACATAACCAAGCAGATACAGCATCTAAAAAAATGATAGGATGGATTACAAGAACCTTCAAATACTGGATACCATCAATGCTCATACCATTCAAATCACTTCTGCTGTCCCATATCGAGTACTGCTCGATATTCACTCCCCCATTCAGAGCAAGACAGATTGCCGGAATAAGAGGGAATACAGAGAACATATACAGCACACAAAGACATGATAAAGCACCTAAATTACTCAAAGCTTTGTGGTAGTAGGTCTACTGGCCACTCAAGCAACAGCCTATTGGACCAAGCAGAACTCCCAAAACCCCATCCAGGTACAATCCAGGTAGTCAACCTAGGACCAGATTCACAAAGCAGTTACACAAACACTTACAAACTTGATCATCTCAATCTTTGGCGGCTTTGTTTACAATTATTAAACTGTTAATGAGCTCCAAAGCACCAGCAGTTATTTATAACAATAACAGTTGATTGGCAAGTTTTCATGCTTGCAAACTGTTTAATAAATGTAACCAAAGCCGTCAAAAATTGAGGAAAGGAGTACACGTTCGTAAGTATTTGTGTAACTGCCTTGTGAATCTGGCCCCCTAGTGCTTAGGGATGTGCACATTAGGGAGTATATTCATTGTGACAAACATCAATATACTTAGGCCACAAAGGGGGAAAAAAAATACTGGAAAGTAGCATTGGTAGGAGGCGGCAAATGCACCCGAATGTGGTGCCTGGAAGCCCCACAAAGGATGTCACAACAGCAGAATGCAGTTGTCAACTGAAAAATCCACAAAATGGAATGAGGTAGTCACCACCAGGGCTCATCCCAACCATGGAATAAGCAGAACAGAGTCCAAAAAGGTAGTAAAGACAAGAAACCCTGGTCTGAGCCCTACGTAGCCTGTCTTTCCGTCACAGTCCAACTTTGGGGCCTGGTTGCCTACCCCACGAGTCTGGAGTAAAGTAAGGTCATTTGGTAAAAGATGGCTGGACCTTGCTGTCCAGCCACTTGACCCACCACAGAGCCCACATGGAAGGCACAACCACAAAGAGCTGGCAACCTCAAGAGTAATGTGAACATTATTATTTGTACTGTTTATATTATTTTGTGCTATTTTTTGTACTGGACAGGAGAATAAAAACAAGCTTTATACCACATAATTTATGAATAAAAGGTAAGGTATCTTATGGCTTACATTACAATACCATATGGGATTTTAATGTTACAAGTTACAGCTATGAACATTGTTATAATAAATGTAACATGCAAACAGCATAACCTCTAAATTGAAGCAAAATGCAAATAGAATTATCAATTGTTTCAATTTACATCCCTATTCATTTCCATAACTAATACATACACCTGTGCAATATTAATTTTACACCAAAAGCACAATACTGTAAACTTGGCCTTTCTTCAACTCGTGTGTGTTTAATGTTCATGGTGGTAAATTTACTGAAATACATGTGGTAAAGACACATTATTCTGGCTGTACTGCAAATGTGCTGTACAGTACTAACTAGGTATTCGTGTGAACACGAAGATATCTTGATGCACTGAGGTTACACAAATCACTTCATATATGCCTTTAAATATTTTTCAAGCTACATACTGGCAAGGCAAAAAAAAATGCAAGAGAAAAACTCACTCAGGAGGGGGGGGTTCATCATATCAAGTAACACGTTTACTTCTAATCAAGCTTACATACAGCATGTGTGAACCACTGGTCCCTCAAAACACCTACTCTACTGTCAAAAATGCACCTGAAATTTTAGGTCAACAAATGTAAAAGTAACCAATAAGATTTACTTCCCTTTTGTTTAATGAGTAACTTCTTCACACTAGCAATCTTTAAACAAATTCATATTTTTGTTTCAACTAAACTAGGTTTTTGTGAAACTTCACAATTACTAACACACTGCAATCAGTTCACATCACTGAACACTACACCCATTATAAGATCATTACCAATCCACGCATTCACTGCACAAGCAACTATCATGCTTGTAATGATAGTAAATCATTGTAAATCATTGTACATTATAAAGCATGTAAATCCTAGAATATAAATATGCTGAACTTCAATGTTTAGCTGTCACAGTTCTTCATCCAATCCATTTCACATCTATTTGACTTCAGCAAAACCAACTCGATTATTTCCAAGGTCAAATTCCGTGTAGAAGCGACCAATGAAGACGTCTCCGAGAATCCAAAGGGGTCCCATTGGAGGCGGTACATCAAGGCCAATAAACCCAGACAGGCACGTCACCTGACCAAACTGGCTCACCTGCGAAGAACACAAATTAGTCGTCAAAACATGTGTTAAAAACTGCACATCTAAATTTATGTAAAATTCTAGCAACAAAAATTTTTCATTTATTTATTTATTTATATATAGAGTATATACAAGAAGGTACACTGGGTTTATGAGAGTACAATACTATACATAGCATTGATGATTTTACATTCTTGTAAAGTCACTAACACGCATAGCATTTCGGGCAGGTCCTTAACCTAACAGATAATTTAAGTAGGTAATTTCTAGCAAAATTGAGAAATGTTAACAGTTACAAAGCAAGAAAATTTGAAGAACATTAGTAGGTACATTATAGTAAAATTTGAGGATTATCAACAGGTACATTGTAGCATAATTTGAGGCTTATTTCTAGGTATAATGAAGTAAAATATGCGTTCAATATAACAACCATGATACAAGACGATAGCGGTGATTACAATGGTGAAGTTGAATGGCTTAGGCACATATATTGGAGGAGTGGGTAGCACAAGAGACAGTTTTAGGCACTAGGTAGGAAACTATGAGGAAGATATTAGATACTTTTTGGTTTTATTTTTGAATAAAACGTAGGTTGGACAGCTCTTCAATTCGTTAGGGAGTGAGTTCCGTAGACTAGGATTCCTTTATTTGCATAGCGTATTTACAAAGATTTAGTTTGACTCTGGGAATATGAAAAATTTATTTTTTGGTATGGTGATTATAGGGTTCTATTACATCTGTCAAGGAAGAGTTTCAGAACAGGATTTGCATTTAAGAATACGGTTTTGTCAATGTAAATGGCACAAGAAAATGTATCTTGAGGTTATCTTGAGATGATTTCGGGACTTTTTTTTTTTTAGTGTCCCCGCGGCCAGGTCCTCGACCAGACCTATGTATGGAGTATGTTACATTATAGTGAGCATATCCCCTTTGCTCATTCTCTCCTCTGAGAAATTAAGTTCTGCTAACCTGTCTTAATAGATCGGCTCTCAATTCTAGTAATAGTCTAGTTAACATTTGTACTTAAACTTGTTATGCTCTCAAGGTGCAGATTCCATGTCCAGACTGCACACCCAAGTAATGGTACAGTATAGCACAGGCTACATATATGGTAGTCAGAGCCTCATTTGTTTGGGCTTTTAAATGCTGTTCTCGTGTTCACAAACTTTCATGCCACCTACATCCTGTTTACATATGAATTTGTTGTTAACATTACCATTCACTTGTGTATATTCCTTCTGGTGTTTGTAGTAGTTAGGTAAGTAATTATCAAAAGAAGGTACCACACCGGGAAGGCTATGTAGCAGTATCGAATGTGCGGAATAATCAGAGGGCGCTAAATATCACCAAGGATGCCAATACAAGAACAGAAACGCATAAGGCGAACGATATCAAAAGAATCCAATTCAACCAGAATTCTATCGAGAGACAAATAACCGCGAGGGACGGTCAGAAAACGAGACATGCTCGTCCTGGAAGTCAGGACACTCCACAAGGATATGTATGACTGTAAGAGGGACAATACAATTTGGACAACAAGGAGCAGGGCGGCGCTCCATTAAGTGACCGTGAGTTAAGTGTGTGTGGCCAATACGCAACCTCGCCAGAGCCGTTTCCCATCGCCGGTTACGGTGGTAGGAGGAAGGCTATGAGGACACACACTACCCTTAAGAGTACGCAGTTTGTTACCAGTAACAGAAGACCAACAACCCTGCCAACGGGTAAGGATGGAGAAATAACTGGGTAAAAGTCGGAATAAGGAATACCTTTACTTGAGATTGGAAATTCCTTAGGAGGTGAATATCAAGCCAGAAATTTATCTGGATTTGATGTTTGTGGATCAAGATGGCTTCTATGAATTATTTCAGTGCATTTTACTTGTTGACCACTTGTACAGCATATTTAATTAGTTAAGATTTTTTAGCATTTCCTGCTTCCACAGATATCATCAGATATCTTATACCAGGACAAGACATCTTGTCCTATTTTCGCTCACTAAAGAGGCTGTCCTTGTTAATCCTTTTGGTTATAGCAATTTAATAGTGATGGTGCCGAGTGTAGTGGTGACTGCTTGCATTTGTGGGTGTGGTGGTGGTAGTAAGGTGGTTATAAACTGGTTTAGGTTGTGTATATCGTGTGTGATAATGGAGAGGGGAGAAAGGGGAGAGAGGAGAGAAAGGGGAAGAGGGGAGAGAAGGCAGGGAGACCATGTCATGCTCATCAAGGTCCCTCTAGGTCAACTATTTACCCAACTCCCAGGCACCTGTTTACAGCAAGTCAACAGAGGCATAAAGTGACAAGACAGGTGTCCAGACACCTGTGCGGTTTATTAAACACTTAAGAGCCATACAAATTTGATGACAAAACTGGTCATCAACCAGTTTAAGATAAAAACGAAGCACTACCTTATAAATTCCCTGTAATCTACCTTACCCCTCTGTTGTCAACCCATGTCTTTTTTTCTTTTCTTTTTTAACACTGTTTGAATGTAATTGTCTGTAATAATTTGTAATTGTATTTGTGCTGCTTTTTCAGCCATGTTCCCCCCTTTTTTACCTCTATTTTTATTTGTTCTCAACACATTTTATTCTTTATACCCATTAGTATTAAGCTTTAGTCATTAATGTTTTTCCTGCCCGAACGCTTTGAGTAATAGTGGCTTTAGGCATTGTATGTACTAGCTCTATCTATTAATCCAACAAACTTTGTAAAATCTCTTGTATGTATGTATGTACCTTCCATAAATAAACATTTATTTATTTATTATTATTTATATTTTGAAGCAAATCTGCACATCACATTATGAGATTGTGACTAAAGACTGACATAATATGGAGTTAATCCTACTACAAAATTTAATTATTAGTGCAACAATGAATGTACATGGAATAGTACATTCTTATATTATGTTTCTGGAAATTTGTTTCATAAATCAACAACCCTATTTCCAAACCAGGTCTTTCCTTAACCCTTGCACTGCTCACCTATTTTCAGCAAAAACGTCTTGGTGCAATTGTCAAGGACATATTTTTGTTATTTTTACAAATGTTCAGGTAAATTTAATGTCAAAATGTTTCCAAAGTCAACTATTTCCATTTCAAAACACAAATAGTAATGAAAACATTAAAAAACATTAAAATATAGCCAAATAAAAAAACAAAAAGCACAACTCTCTGAGCACCTAAAGGCGCTTTGCGCAGTGCAGTGGTTAAAACTAAAAATTTCCCCAATTAATATCCCTTGCAGTGTGTTCTATTTTGTGTAGGTATATTTAAAACCTTATTTATATGCCCTTGTATACAGGCAATGAGTCACAATAACGTGGCTGAAGTATGTTGACCAGACCACACACTAGAAGTCGAAGGGACGACGACGTTTCGGTCCGTCCTGGACCATTCTCAAGTCGTCCCTTCATTTTCTAGTGTGTGGATTGGTCAACATACTTCAGCCACGTTATTGTGACATCTCCAGTATCCCCATTTGTAAATATTGCCCTTGTATACATTATACCCTTTACCCTTTCGTATACAGTATTTACATACATCAATTATGTCATCCCTTACTCTTCATCCTTCCAGAAAATGTAAAATAAGCTTTATTTATTCTCTTCATAGGAAAGGCTTCTAGCTTTGGGGATTACCTGTGCCATGTTTCTCTGTACGTGTTCAAGTGAACTTGTGTCCATTCTAATGTATGGTGACCTGAACTGAATCTAAAAGGGGCCTAACAAAGGCATGATAAAACCAAAATAAAATATTGGATGGCTTATTGCTAACACACTATAAATAAATCCCAGTACATATATCATAGTTGTAAACCCAGTATCCCCACTTAAAACCCACAGTTTCCCCATTTGCAAACCCCAGTATCCCTCTTGACCAATCCTCACACTGGAAAATGAAGGGACGACGACCTTTCGGTCCTTCCTGGACCATTCTCAAATCGACTTGAGAATGGTCCAGGACGGACCGAAACGTCGTCGTCCCTTCATTTTCTAGTGTGTGGATTGGTCAACATACTTCAGCCACATTATTGTGACATACCCAGTATCCCCATTTGTAAACCTGTGTCCCCATTTATTTCCACCATACAAAAAATATGCAAGATTCAAGCCAATATGTAAACAATGTCAACTTATATTACACAAACTACACTTTGGTGAAAAGTCTCGGAAAACTGCTAGTATGCATACCTGGAGACACTTCAATAAGCATGAATAAATGACTAGATACTTGTCTTCACACTCACCCTGAGAATGTAGTCTTTACCCTCCAGTGTGAAAGGCTTTCCCTGCAGAACAAACGAAATCGTCGGCAAATCAGGGATCATATTGCAGTCCACCGACCACTCCCCACCCATAATGGGCTTGGCACCAATCTGAAAGTCAAGTTTTAAACATTATTTAATATTCCTTATGTCTAACAAACTGATATAATGTCTATCAATTGTCATTACCACAAGGGTCTGATTAAATTGGTTATTGCTGGCTTCTTTTAATAGGCCGCTATAGTTTAATTGGCATTGATAGAGAACAAATACCAGTGAAGTAGCAGACAGGAACAAGCATGCGATACTTGTTCTTTAAATGTATTTAAACAATTTAAGTTGGAAACTTTTAACATCAAAAGCATGTTTGATATTATGCGCATAAAACCTAAGGTTAAAGTTGGCCACAAGTTTGATAGAATTGTGGAATCACAGTATGAAAAGGTTGAAAATTACCTTTTTATTGATTAGTCGAGCCTCTTCGGCAGGAGCCGCAATGAGAGAGGTTCCCGTGTCGGCAATGGCTTCACACCCACCCTGGCAGAATGGCACGGTAGTCCCATTCATCTGCAGCCTGCCAAGTTATAAAGCATCCACTTGTATATTATGCACAGCCTAATAAAACACCCTAGCCAACAGATACAGGAATACAATCTCCAATTCACAAAGGATATTTTGCAAGAAAATTATAATTAATAAACATTCAAACTATCCAATAGCTTCCTAGGGTTAGGAAGTAAAGGGCATGTATGCACTTTTACCAATACTGTACAGTATTTATATTCCTCACCACTCGCACCCAACACACTACCCGTATTCCTCACTACTCGCATCCCAGCCCATCTTAACAAGAGTTCACATCATCAAATTGATATACTAAGCTGCCCAGACCTAACCTAACCAAGAACCCACAAATAGAAAATGGGACATCCTGTTAATTTTGCGAGCCACTAACTCAATACATCTTACTGCACTTTGACGGTGGGGATTATTACAGTATATCAAAATACAATGTGTTGCGAGACAATGGATTGCATACCCAATATTACCCCCCCCCCCTGTTCCTCACCATTCACACCCTACCCACCACACACTGGGCACCTGACAGCTGGGTGGACAGCGCTTCGGATTCGTAGTCCTGAGGTTCCGGGTTCGATCCCCGGTGGAGGCGGAGACAAATGGGCAAAATGTTTCTTTCACCCTGATGCCCCTGTTGCCTAGCAGTAAATAGGTACCTGGGAGTTAGCTCCTATGGGCTGCTTCCTGGGGATGGAGGCCTGGTCGAGGACAGGGCCGCAGGGACACTAAGTCCCAAAATCTCAAGATACTCAAAATACCCACAACCCCCACCCCCATTTCTCACCACTCGCATTCACCACACTAACCCCTGCTCCTATTTGAGGCTATTGTAGCCCAAATCAACAGGGAATCCTGGGAGGCTGAATGAAGATTTCAGGGAATTCTTTGGCACTGTCTGGCCAAAGAAGTACTGAAGACACATTTAGCCAGAGGTGGAGTTCAGAGAACTCCGTAAGAGACGGCCGTGCAAAAAGGGCCAGGAACCTGGGCTGAATGTGTCACAAGGAGCCAGCAGAATAAACACAGTCCACAAATTTCACCAATCTGGCCAACACATGGGAAGAGCTGAAATGAAAGAGGGGCTAAAGGAAGTCTCATTTATTCCAATCCAAACAATGTTCACCACAAATGCTATGCATGTAACACGTACACATAGTGGACAGCACTAGACTCGTGGACCTAGGGACTGGGGTTTGATCCCCCAGCACCACCGGAAAAACAAATGGGCAGTTTCCTTCACCCTGATGCACCTGTTACCTAGCAGTAAATAGGTACCTCAGAGTTTGACAGCTGATACGCGCTGCTTCCTGGAGATGTGTGTGTAGGAAAAAAAATAAATAGTACTTAGCAACAGTTGATTGACAGTCGAGAGGCGGGCCGAAACATCAGAGCTCAACCCCCGCAAGCACAACTAGGTGAATAGACATGAAAGGGAGCTGCATATGCAGTATTAGCAACCAATAAAGGTTGCTAAGGATAAGGGATAAGAGATTCACTCGAGGACATGCAAACATCATGCAGATCCCGTACACCACCTATTATGTCGAAATCAGAAAAACGATAAGAAGCCATCCATGACATAGGGACACACTAATTGTAGACTTGATTGAGGACTAAGCCCCTAATAATCCAAAAATGAGCCCATCTTAAGAGCGTCCCCCACACAAGAAAAGGAAGCAGCAAGGGCTCTCTCTGGTAAGGCAATGGAACAGCAATATGCAATCAGTGTCAAGCAAAATGGTTTAAGTCCCATAGGAGGGGGCTGTGGTTAAGCAACCTCTACTATTGTGAACTCCCCTCGTTGTGATATAGGACCAACAGCAGGCGCGGGGACCACAATCCCTGGCGAGTGTGGCGAGAGCCGAACCCAAACCACCGACACATCCGACTTAAAAGGTGAACAACTGCAGCGAGGGAAGAGCAGCATGCCACAGAGCCAACCCTGAAAATCCTGAAGAGGAAAACGAGTCAAAATTTTCTGGAAAGCCCAAGAAGGCCTTGGTAGTGAAGATGGTTACAGTGATGACTTGTCACGAGTAGTTTATATTGTTACAGTGTTGAAGTATATTATCTTTACAGTGAAGATGGTTACAATGGGAAAAACAGTAAGGAAGATGGTTATATTAAAAAAAAAAATAGCAGGTAGGGAAGATCATTAGTGATGAAACTAATATTTAGTGAAAAGATGGTGTCTCCAGGTGCAGAAGGAAGGAAGGAAACAAAAGAAAGGGAATGAGAAGAAGAGAGGGAGTGATCCTTGGGGAAAAAAGATGGAGTAGGAGGATAGAGAGGAAAGGGGAAGGGGTAGTGAGGAAGGGGGAATCGAGACAGGGCAGCTAGGTCCCCCCCACCCCCCTAGAACCTCACAACAAATTATTAAACAGAACTTACCCATCCATTTTAAACTGCCAGTAGCCTTTGCGATCCACAGGCAGATAGGTGAAGTCTCCCGTGTAGTACTGTGGGTCCGAACCTCCGAAGATGAGCTCACCTCCATCAGGAGCAGATGGGTCCCTTGGGTAAAAATGTAGAATTTTACTGAGAATTTACCTTTGATTAAACATACCGAATGCAAAATACATTCATATTCTTAATAGTTCACATTTGCAATCAATTTTATCAACATTTTAAACAGAAAATCTATCTTGTTATGCTACAACTCCTTACCCCCACCCCATTTTTTTTTAATAATTACAAAAATATTTCATATTACCTGTTAAGATAAAAGCTGAAAACTGGAGCTGTAATCAACTTCTGCTTGACCATGTTGTAGAAGACCGGTACAACGCCATCCACAGCAATATTGTCATAGGCCATGCCAAGAATACCGTCAAATTTGGCAGCAACGAAAGCCAAACCCGGTTCACTTAAGGCTTCTGCAAATGTCTGCTGTTGTACAATCAACGAACCAATCTGCGAAATTAAATATTTATAATCGAAACCCATACACACATTTGAGCATAGGTTCAACTATGTATTTCTTATAAAGCCATCACTATGGTCACCTCTTCAAGCAAGTTAACAGATTTAACAGTTTTAATAAGCAAGGAATAAAAACATGTTAAATCTGGCCAACAATCCAGAGATCATCTCAGCCAACAATCCCCATAACTAAACAATGCCCTGCCCTTATGGATTTTTTTTTTTTTTCAATTTACATGACAAAAAATGTTGCCAGTACTTCAATGTATTTTTTACACCAATATTTAGATCATTTGCAAATATATCCAATTTTTTTGTAACTGATAAATAATGAGGAATGGTTAAATACTTATAAACGTGTATATTCCGGGATACCACGCATAAACTACTATGCACGTACCATCTTCCATTCATCTTTAGGCCGAGACAATTTCCAACAGTGACAAAATTCAAAAATTTTAATCTAAAACATTATTTTGGAAACTTGAAATTAAGAGTTACCATTTTAGGCATCACCGAGTGTGGTCCCGAGAGAGTGAACATTTACTGCCAGTGCACATCCAGATCACTAGTGTTAATGAGAACAAGTGTTCTTAAGGCTTGTCAAACCATGCTAGGTATAGGAAATGTAGATGTTTATCTCAATGTTTGGTAATATGTTTATTGTTTGTGATGTGTTTATATGTATGTATTAACACAATGTACTGAACGGGGTGAGAATAGCTTGAGCTACCTCATCCCTTTGTGTGTATTTTACCTCAATAAACTTATTTCAATTTCAATGCTAGGTATGCCATTATTTATCACGGCAAATTTACGTACCCGATTTTTTCAGGGAAACCCAATGGTCTTCAGACAGTGTATTACCCAATCATAGGCATTCTAATTTGTCGGTGTATCACAAATGTACCACGGTAAGGGTTAAAGGAAGGAAAGCAACCATCAATTTAAAGGTTTTACTGTTAACGTCAAGAGAGCAAATATTGATGCAGCATCTATACTTCCTAAACAACCTCAATCTCACACACCCGTCCTAGTTAAAAAAAAAAAAAAAAACCTGGAACACCAGAATGTCATACACCACCAAACTTACAAAGCTACAATGGTAGACATGCAAATTACCCAAAACTAGAATTTTACCTAAATTTTTAAGTTTAATTTCAACAGATTTAAAAGTATTTCTATGGCTTTTGACTGGAGAGAAACTGCACAAATCTGCCTAATACGAGGGAAAAAACGTTATCAGGGAAAAGCGCATAGTCATATAGCACTTGGAAGGGATTAAGATAAGAATTTGGGATGGGACGGAGGAACGGAATGGTGTCCAACCACTTGGACGGTCGGGACTGGATGGCGACCTGCATGAAGCGAGACGGTCCCTCTACCATCCATGAGGAGCCGGTCGGCCGAGCGGACAGCACGCTGGACTGTGATCCTGTGGTCCCGGGTTCGATCCCGGGCGCCGGCAAGAAACAATGGGCAGAGTTCCTTTCACCCTATGCCCCTGTTACCTAGCAGTAAAATAGGTACCTGGGTATCAGTCAGCTGTCACGGGCTGCTTCCTGGGGGGTGGAGGCCTGGTCTAGGACCGGGCCGCGGGGACACTAAAGCCCCGAAATCATCTCAAGATAACCTCAAGTCCAAGTGGTTGGGCTGCCTAACACATGCACTTGAGAGGCAGGCGGGGGGGGGGGGGGATTAAAAGTACAGTACAGACTATGTACACGAATACAAACAACTTACCTCTACATTATCTGTAGACAAATAACCAGAGAGAGAACCAGAGCCGTAGTGGATGGCAAACTCCGTTCCATTTTTCTTGAATGTTGAAGACTTCCGTGAATCGTACTTGTTGTGAAGCACTGAAGGAAAAGGTCGGTTTATATAGTTAAGAGAAAGCATGAGTAAAATTATATTACACACACACACACACACACACACACACACACACACACACACACACACACACACACACACACACACACACACACATTGTTAGGCAAGGAAGTAAAAAGAGATGTATGCCAAATTCTACATAAAATACAAAGAAGGTACAATAAAATATACAAAAACAAAGATGCAAAACCAGAAAACCGGATTTGTTTAACAAATTGTGAGGTGATAGAAGAAAAGAGGAGAAAATGGGCCCAACATAGGAGGACGCCTAACCCTCAAACATACCACCACTACAAACAAGAAACTAGTACACAGCCGTGAGGAGAGAGGCAGAAAGGAACTTTGAGAAAAGGGTAGTGGACATAAAACAGATCCAGGCCTTTCCTATAAATTCATTAAAACCAAACTGCATATAGAGGATAAAATCCAGAGATTCAGAATGGGGAACAGGTTCACCGAGGATGAAACTGTAAAACTAAATGAACAGTTCTAAAGTGCATTTATGCAAAATGTGGTTTTAGAACCAGACAATGCCAACTCCAGTATATGCTATTGAACAGTGTCACTAGATGAAGTGGAAATTTTACTCGAGGGACTAGGAAGAAATACAATTCTTTGACCAAATAGTGTTTCACCTTGGCTACTGAGAAAATGTGCAATGGAGCTAAGCATGCCACTTCAACTGATATTCCAGATATTTTGTACGCTGGAATCTCAGCAAGTATTTGGAAAAAGGCAAACAGGTCCACTCTTCAAAAATGGTTGCAAAGCAGACCCTCTAAATTATAGACCTATATCATTAACAAGCATGGTAGTCAAAACACTGGAAAAAAATAGTTAAAAGCCAAATGGGTTGAACACCTAGAGAGTAATGATGTAACATACGATATGGTTTTTGCCAGGAAGATCTTGTAAAACAAATTATCTTAAGTGTTCATGATAGAGCCACAGAAATTTTAGACCAAAGAGATGGTTGGGTCGATTGCATCTATCTGGACCTAAAAAAGACTTGACAATCCCACACAAGATATTTTGGAAATGAACATGCTTGAGGGGTGACTGGGCAAATGTTGACATGGATGAAAAATTTTTTTGACAGATTAGGGCAGTAATTAGAGGCATTGTATTTGACTGGAGGAGTGCTACTAAAGGAGTACCATGGGGTTCATGTTTGTTAATAATGTTACGCTACTAGGGAAGATAAACAGACGATTGTCATGCCCCTCAAATGGACCTAAATAAAATAAATGTTTGGAGCACGATGTGGCAAATGGAATTCAATGTGAATAAATGCCATGTTATGAAATGTGGAATAGGATAAGAGACCACACACAACCTACAAATTATGTGAAAAGGCCTTAAACAACTAACATATCTAGAGGTGGTTCTGGATAGTAGACTCGCCAGAGGAACATACAGGACATGTATGAAAGTGCAGCATATGCTCCTCGCATATGCTGCACTTTCCAACTTCAGAATCACTTTTTTACATGGATAGTGGAATACTAAAACGGTTCATGACCCACGTGAGACCAAAATTGGAATATATAGCAGCTGTAGTGCGCCCCATCTCTCAAGAAGCATGTCAATAAACTGGAAAAGTGCAAAAGGTAGGTTACAAAATGGCTTCCAGAACTGAAAAACAAAAGTTATGAACAGAAGCCAAAAGCATTAAATATGAAAAAAAGGCAATATGATCACTTTACAAAATAATAACAGGAATAAACCAAACTGACAGGAATTCGTGAAACCAGAAACCGAGACCAAGAGGTCATAGATTTAAGCTAAGGAAACAAAAGTGTCAACAAAATATAAAGTTTTCTTTTGCAGAGTGGTAGACGAGTTGGAACAAACTTAAGCGATTAAGTGGTGGAGGCCAAAAACGTCAGTACTGGAGTTTCAAAGTGTCATATGACAGTGCTGGTAAGACGGGACACACCATGAGCATAGCTCTCATCCTTTTACTGTACAAGGGTAATTATACCCGCCCGAAACGCATTGTTGTCCGAAACGCATTGCGTAATAGTGGCTTTAGGCATTGTATGTACTAGCTCTATATATCAATCCATTAATGTAACATCACTTGTATGTATGTACCTTACCTGAATAAACGTATTTATTTATATTTATACACTTGAGTATGTTAGGCGTGTATCACGGTTCCCCGAGGTCAAACTACTGACCCTCCCCATGATGCAACCCCCGAACAGTTGACCAACTCCTGGGTATAGTACCTACAGCTAGGTGAAGAAGCATTAGATGAACGGAAACGTTTCCAATCATTTGTTCCGCTCCGGATTCCCAACTGTAAGTCAAGAACGAACCCAACTGTACTACTGTACTGAGACCCCCTCAATGAATAAGAATTATAAGGCAAATTATTCACAAACATTAGTGGACAAAGTGTACAGCAATATAATAATTTAACAATTGCAAAGAAATTACCAAGAAATTGGTCAATGATAAATACGGTGGGTTTCATGATGGAAGACGGCTGTCTTCATTAAACATTTTCAACATCTCTTTGCGCACCAAATAGCCATTTATACCTGATTTACTAATTAAACATCAGGCGATTACAAACCCAAATGAGATTTAAATCAAAATATGTACAAATTTCTGAACATTTTTTCTAAGATTTTCCTTATAGCAAATAATACAACATTTCAACAAACTGATCATCTACCTGTTGGTGAACTAGTGTTCTACTCCTGTACCCATTACCCTATAGCCAGCCTTCAATGGCGACTGCCTAGTCTATGAGGTTCTCTCTTAATAGCCTCAAGGTTCTTTTAGTCATCACAGCCAGGTTGATCCAGTACACCCAGTAGAAAGTTATCCAATTCCCTCTTAAAGGAGCACAAATAAGCCACAGTACGTTGCCCAGACCACACACTAGAGTGTGAAGGGACAAAATTCGACTTGAGAATGGTCCAGGACGGACCAAAACGTCGTCGTCCCTTCACCTTCTAGTGTGTGGTCTGGTCAACATACTTTTGCCACGTTATTGTGACTCATCGCCTGCAAGCCACAGTATATCATATACTAGCTTATCTATGATGCAAGTGAAGCCATTACCACTTAGGGTATCTATGAAGTATGCAACATTTATATTTGAGGCATAAGAAAGGCAGTGTTGGAGAAAATATGAAGCACAAGCAAGGAAATGAAACCAAATAGGAAAGAACGTTCCATTACAAGAACTATATGGATATAAACAACATGGCTTTGGTTGCACTGCAGTGTGGTTAGAAAATACATTAACTTCATTACAAATTTCCACAACACTATAGATTTACTTGCATCACGAACTTTATGCCAATATTCTACTTAAAATATGAGGCATGTAAATTGTGCAGCATTTCAAAGTCAAAATTAGACAAGTCTATATATAATTCTACACCTCAGTTACTTTAAATATAAGATCAAGCATTTACTGTACTTGATAAAGTAGTGAATCCTCGATGAAACGGACAAATTTTTACCAAACCAGTTCCGTTTCATCAAGGACTTTAGGCAAATCCGATTTCTGCTATTACAAACTTTAAAACATTTTTTTGTACATGTATGCATGCATATGTAACAAACTACAGAAGTAATGAGACTACTGTGTTTTTGTGTTCAACTCTTGAGACACCTGCTGGGGTGTGACAACTGCAAAATCAGGTCCTTCATCCCAATGTTGTTGAATAACAAAGCACATTACTGAATCATTTTAATTGTTCCTGCAATTTTGCTATATCCCATTCCATTCACCTGAGCTCTAGGGACTCGAACCATGGACCTCACGTGTGTGAAGCCGAAGCTCTTATCGACCGAGCTATTGATTTGTTTATTTCCACGAAAGTGGGGGATGACATTTTGCTAACAATATATGGGTTTAACTTAAAAACCCAGGGTTAATTTTAACTATACAGTATAATCATTAAACTTGACTAAACCATCATGTTGCTGTCCATGAATGATTTGCAAGTAGCCACTTTTTTCATGTTATTCTAATCAACTGGATGGTCATAATTTTGAGTACAAACAGTGCATGTGGGAAGGAGGCCCCCGACCAGAGAGGGGTGGTCGGAGACCGGGCCGCGGAGCTGTTAACACCCGGAAGCTACACAAGGTAAGGTAGGCAGATTCCTGACATGTCCAAATGCTAAAATGTTGCATAATCCTTTTTTATACGGTCTTTTCCAGTTTCTCTCATGTACAGTACTAACTGGTTCTTTGTTACTCATTCTTGTGAGTCCCTTGATATGCTGACAGACTGTTAACACGAGTCAGTCCTCTGCTCTTGTACCCCCCAAACCCCATCCCCACAAAAATAAGTACATGTATTGGAGGTTTCAGCTGAAATTTAAGATGCCAATAACAAAACTGGGCTGATATCACCGATACATCAGTACACTTCTATTGGAAACAATGCTGTTCAGGCATTGAACATTGAGGAAGAAAAATACAATCTTATAAAGCCTTGGTTTTTCCTACAAACAAGCTTTTGTTTAATCATTTAGTAAAATAACCTTCAAATGTTTAATATGTAATGGTTTAACAATGAACTACGGTCTGTCCAAATCAGACAAAAATTTAAAATATCATATGACTTGGCTCTTAACAAAAGCAACTTTTATGGCTTCACACACAAGAGTATGAAAGTCGATACCCGAGGTGTGGGGTGGACATCGTGTATTGATTTTCACGCTCTGTCACCTTACAGTCATATTTGCTTTTATTTTTAGCTAACATTGACAATTTTTTTTTTTTTTAAAGTAACATTAACTAAATTATGCTTGTAATTATTTCTCTAGGCTTAATCTCAAGCAGTATTAAAACTAGTAAAATTTGCACTGAAATCAGGTGTGCATTTTAGCAGTGAAGGATAGTTAGGCAACTTTCATAAAAGTTTGCCAATGTTTAGAGAAAGATCTACATTAAATTTATTTTGTAGATAACATTTTGCCTGTAAGAACTTAATCACATCTTTAGGGATTTGATACAACTGCAGGTAAATAGTTATTGGCCAAGTCTCTCATGGTAACACTATTATTGTGTACACTGATGCTGTTCAATTGACTTTGCAACCATTTTATCCATAAAGTTTCTTTACAAGTATATAAATAAACCATAAAATTTGTACTTTTCATATACTGTACAGTATATTAATCAAATTCATAAAAATTATATTGCAAGCATGAGAGTTGACACTTACACTATACCATCCTCAATGTTCTACCCATGGTGCTCACACCAACACAAGATTTCCTGCCCGAAACGCTTTGCGTAATAGTGGCTTTAGGTATTGTATGTACTAGCTCTATCTATAAATTCATCAATATCTGTATCACCCCTTGTATGTGTGTACTTTACCTAAATAAACATTTTAATTTGAAAAATAGTTTTTAGCTACCCCACAACATTTGAAACGCACAAGTACCAGGTTTCTAATCAATGCCCGAGGCCACCAGTAAACGTCTGCATGTTGAGAGAGGGGGGGAAAAAAAAAAAAGGAAGGTAGCCCACCGTGCTCACATCTGGCTAGTTTGGAGTACGGGGCTGTACCACCTAACAGTATGGCATTATCATGAATACTGTATCACTCATATACGACAAAACCAACAATGTGCAGGTGATAAAGTCACAATAACGTGGCAGAAAGAATTATGTCCAAACAACAACTAACAAGATGGAAAAGAGATGATATTTTGGTTCATCCTAAACCATTTTCAAGTCTTTGTCAACTTGATAATGGTCCAGGACGGACAGACACGTCGTCGTTTCTCCATCTTCTAAGTTGTTGCTTGGTCATCAAAACCAACCATCAACGTGTTATGATCATTTGCCGGTTGCCTAGTGTGGTCATCCTAGAGCAAGATACGTGGTAGGAATAATGATTGCTTTGAAGGCTTCAATAGTGTTACTGTAATACTGAGGATCTTTATTCAAGTCCTGAAGTTAATTTAACTTATTTCTTTACTGCATTCACCTTAGTGCAGATCATCTCCTCAGACATGGAAATCCACCAAGAAATGCTGGCACAAAACAAGGCTGTGGAAGAACTAACTGTACATAGGTAATCCATATTAATCATATTTAAATGGGAACAAATTAGAGTTTAAGGTACAAAAGAAGCTGAAGTAACAGTTAACAAAAGGCCATCCCCCTAAAAGCAACACCACATGAAATATACAGAAATTCTAACATTGAAAAATTCCAAATTTCTCTCAATGTCCTCATCACCATATATATACTCACCATCTTTTGTCACCTTGACATTGGCAAAATAACCAACCTGCAAATCTTGTACAATAAACAAGGTTATAAAAACATTGTGGGAAAGCGGTTTTACCTTCAGGACGTGAGAAATCTGGGCCATTTCAATGGTCAGGGAAGATGATGAAACCTTACCTTATACTTTATCCTTCATCTTAACAATCAAGTGCTCAGATGCTCAATTACCACCGATTAACCAATTCCTCAATAGTTTCAATTCCATATAAGCATAAAGTTACAGGCTGAAACCCAACTGTTCAGCAATTTTATTAAATGAAAGTTGGTACTTACAACATGCAATGTTTGTGTAGTGACACTGCTTGGAAGGTACCCACAGGTTGGAAGATCCAGTGTCGAACACCACTCTGAAGGACTGTGGAGGAGTGCCAATGGAAATGGCACCATAGTACTGTGCCTAAAATATATACAAAAAATGAACATTAAGAGCCACATTTGTTTACATATACAGATAAAGTACATATAAGCTACCTACTAATATTTTCATGCCGATCTATTAATTGTTGTTAAAAATTCCATGTTTTTACAAAAATATACACGGTATACAAAATGTACATGTTTTTACAAAAATATACACGGTATACAAAATGTACATGTTTTTACAAAAATATACACGGTATACAAAATGTACATGTTTTCACATAAAATTACAAAAATTGCCTCCAAGACATGAATTCTTCCCAATGAGTTGCCAGGACATACAGTACAATACCATAACTTTGTTTACTATGCCACACAGTAAATGCTGGACATGTCTAAAACTTGCATTGGGATATAAGGGGAGCAATTCCTGACTAACAGCACTGATCTTTAGACAAATACTACTACAGTTGTGTAGTATTTGTCTAAACACTAATAATCAAAACTCGGTATACCTTATCAAAACTAACCAGCCAGGGATCAATTGGGAGCCTGAACAACTTTTTTTTTGTCTTGCAAGATTGATGGGCTATAGAAGCTTGAGAGGTTATCGAGATAATTTTAGGGCTTAGCGTCCCCACGGCCCGGTCCTCAACCAGGCCGTTTTTGTTACAACCCCCCCCCCTTCCCCCCCACAGGAAGCAGCCCATAACAACTAACTCCCAGGTACCCATTTACTGCTAGGTAACAGGGGGCGAGCATCAGGGTGAAAGAAACTATGCCCATTTGTTTCCGCCTCCACCGGGGATCGAACCCGGAACCTCAGGACTATGAATCCGAAGCGCTGTCCACCCAGCTGTCAGACGCCTAGCACAAAGAATAAAACTAAAGAAAATTGGGTTGGCAAATATTAACAAATAGCATACCAAAATGAATCGGGGAACCAATGGCTTGAGTCCTAGCCAGACATAGGGCAAGGCTGTGTCCCCACACACACCTATCCAGTCACAGGCGAGAGACAATCATTCTTACCCTGTGACTGGCAGGGTGCACACCATCTACTGTAAAGTACCTTAACTTTATTCAAACATGAACAAATATACAATAGCATACAATAATTCATCTTCAATTTTATGATTAAATAGCTATTATTGAATTCCATAATTCCAAAAGTGTCAAACATTATTTAAAAACTTACATCCATATAGTTTGATAAAGGTTCTGGCATGCGCACATTATTTCCCCATTTTCTATGTATTTGGCGAATAGGGGTGTCAACTTCACGCAATGCATGACGTGCAGACTTGAATTTCTGAAGAGTAATCCTGAAATAAAATTAATTTTATATTTACTGTATTAAACAAGGCTATATTAGAGGCTATAGCACTATAAACATAGGCAACAAAATAAATTAATGTAATGAAATGCCAAATTTTTGATAACTCCTTGGTGCTTGCTACCTGGCAAGCTCTGCCTATTCAATCCACATCAGGCCCTTGTGAATCAAATAAGAAAATGGGGTTGACCATGGGGTAACCACATTGACACCAAGTTGTAAACCATGAAAACGGAAAAATCTGGTCTGTAGAGCAGCAGCCGCTTGATAAATGCTTCCCTAGGGGGTGGCTCATCCAAAATAGACCTTCTCCCCAACGACCACAATCATTGGTTTCCAGGTGGAAAGTATTCCCCACCCAACAGGCAGCATGATGGAAGCAGTAAGAAAAGCCATCTAAACAGAAGCACATCCATTAAACTCGCCCCAGTGATGGCAAAATTGAAGAGCTGGATGTTCATATAAACCCTCCAAAAGCTGCAAAGAGCATTCGAGGTCCTCGAGGAATAAAGTAGGCACACTAGGCACAAGAGCGGCATACCAAAAATTACTAACACTGAAAACAGTTTATGGAATGATTTAACGACTAAGGACAAGTGGTGCGCCATAGAATGAGCATGCAAACTACCTGTGCTATTAAATGAACAAATTCCCAAGGGCCGTGATGAGGGTTCGAACCTACGTCCGAGAGGATCCCAGACGCTGCTTTAATCGATTGAGCTACGACATGGTAAAAGAATTGCAACCAGGAAATCATCCCGATTTACCAATGGATCCTGCAGTCTCTCCGAGACACAAACCAGGGTTTTACGCAATTCCCCCATACACTCTAGCTACGTCACCTGTGTTACCTGTGCTATTCTTAAACAATCAGATTACCCCAACCTCAAGGCCTCACAAAAAATGGTCATTAGGGTTCAAATAAAAATGGAGTTAATGGAGTTAAATTAAAGTCTACACTAAAGTCTACACCACGCAGTCTGGTCTACACCACACAGTCTACACCTCCGCAGTCTTAAATGGAGTTAAATTAAAGTCTAAACTAAAGTCTACACCACGCAGTCTCCGTGGTGTAGTGGTAAGACACTCGCCTGGCGTTCCGCGAGCGCTATGTCATGGGTTCGTATCCTGGCCGGGGAGGATTTACTGGGCGCAAATCCTTAACTCTAGCCTCTGTTTAACGCAACAGTAAAATGTGTACTTGGATGAAAAAACTATTCTTCGCGGCGGGGATCGTATTCTAGGGACCTGCCCGAAACGCTACGCGTACTAGTGGCTGTACAAGAATGTTACAACTTGTATATATCTAAAAAAAAAAAAAAAAAATAAAAAAAAATAAATGGAGTTAAAAGCATAATGTACCTCAAAAGGGCAGAGCACCTTCCACAGGAAGCCAGCATCTCTGACAGCTGCAACCCCCCCCTCCCCCCCACATACACACTGAATTCAGCTCTGGCCAAACAAGGGCAGCAACAGTGAACACCTAGAGACAAAAACTCTAGGCTTACTCTATATGAATCAAACAAACAGTTAATCTGAATCCAGGCAAGAAGTAAGGCACAAATACATATGCAGCAATACCAAAATACACTAGCAAATGGCCTCCCTTCGCAAGACAAGGAAAGTCCAGAGCTACTGCTAATGCCCGAAACGCTACGTGTACTAGTAGCTGTACAAGAATGTAAGAACTCTTGCATATATGAAAAAAAAAAATAAAAAAAAAGTGGATGAAGCTTGTTACTATAAATGACTACCAAGTCCAGGTTTGCCAGCACTTCTCTACAAAGCTGAGGGACAACCAGAGCAGGAAGACAGCATAACGGCACATTCCCAAGTTTCGCACTAGGCATATGAATGACAATTTAAGGCTGGAAATCGAGACGGAAGGTGTTCAGCCTCTAGTGGTGCATGGGTGTAACTAAACTGTTAATTGCTTCACCACCGAGTGGTTCGAGTTTTCGCTATCTTTTATGATTTGTTTATTTTGCAGTAATCTGTTTTGATTCATCCAACTTTCTGACAGCCTTTCTTGGATAGTGACTTACAATCCTCTGTCTTCTGCACCCTGTGCCAGCAAGCACCAAGGAGCCACCATGAAGCCTTCCCAGAAAAGTTCATATTGTAGTAGAATATTATAAACATGACATTACAGTACTTGATACATTTTTTTATAAATCCCTTTTAATGCACAGTATTCTGACCAAATCTTGATATGTTTCCTATATCGAGGATATGCTATAAGTGTATTATACTTTTAAACTTTCGTTCTCAATCCTGACTGTGTATGGGATGCCTAAGGGCAGTGTTTTGCCGCTGGTACTGAAGGCCCATCAGGAGGGTACCGGCAAGTGAGAGCTGGGAAACCTTTAGCGTTGGGATGTCGAGAAGAACATCTGGTGGTTCATTGAAGAGCTCATATACCTTGCTAAACTTTGGCCCCCTATGAAGTATTTTATAAATCTCCTCCATGGAGAATATTTCCTGCCATAGCTGAACATACAGCTTGTCATTCTGCTCCTTTTGTAGGGTCAGGTAAGGACCGCTACTTAAGTTTAGCTCAGTCAGCACAACACGGATTATGGAGGCTTTTCACAAGCCTTTTATCATCTCAAACTTGGAGTAAGAAAATATGAGAAATGCACCCAACCATTTCTGTCCCACCCGGGATTCAACCCCAGAATTCTCAATTGCGGGTTGAAAATACTACTGTGCTACTGGAACCCTACACGTACCCATCATCAGTAGCCTAACAATGAGAAATAGGGTTACCGAGATATTCTAGTAAAATGGTAGAAGGTCGGCCATTAGCACTGGTTGTCCCAGTTACAGGAAGGCTTATTCAGCACACCTGGCAAAGCCTTGCCTAACCTTCCCAGCTTCTCATTGTCACATATACCACAACTTACTAAATTAAGTCATTATAATTATATTGACCTATCTTTTGTTTGTTCAAAAGTTAATGCCTCTGACAAAACTAGCTTCTATTTATTGGATGTGGAATTCTGGCTGACACGCACATGGGGCCCACCGACAAGCCGCCGGCTTCCTGTCTTTCACCGAGGCCACTAGTGTCAGCGACTCGAGTAAACTCGGGTAAACTCAGTGGGTACCGAGCAGCAGGTCACAGGGTCAGGCCAGAGTGACCTCACCCTTGGCTAGGGGTCAGAGGGCACGCTCCCCCAGGATCAATTACCGCGGTAAGACGGAAGTGTTTGGGCAACATTCCTTACACCTGATGCTTCTGTTCACCTAGAGTCGAATTCGTAGGGTCATGTTAGGGGGGTAAAGAGGACCTGAATAAGCTCGATATAATATAATATATGATATAGAGGTACAAAATATAGGGATTTCAGTTACGCTATTTCCCTTACTCTTTAAGGGATTTAACTTAAAAAAAAAAAAAGAGTTAAAGGGAAGAGATGTCGTCCCTTTAACTCTCGTGTTATTAGTTTGACCTTTAACTACTAAGGTCATAGAGTTACATTAGTGTGCATACAGCCCCCCAGGAGGAGGGGGGGACACATGGAGGACCAGTTACCACCACAATACACACACACACAACCCACCACAAAGACACCATATAATGCTAAAATACGACACGAGACGAGACGTCCCTTACCTGGGTAGCTGTGCAGCAGCCAGGGCCACCACGGCCGCAATAATTAACACCCTCATGGCTGTAGGAGCAGCAGCAGGAGCAGCAGGAGCAGCAGTGTAGCACCTCCAGCAGCAGCAGCAGCAGCAGCAGACTATAGTGAGGGCCCCTACAGGTGTCCGGTCCGGGGGCCCCCCATCAACCGGTCATGTGACGGGCCCTGCACCGAGCATCACCACATATAATGACTCACTCAACTCATTATTATCATTATTATTAATAAACTCATGTATATACATTAATATAGCGGTTTCCTACTCTATTCCAGTTTAATCCCTTCCTATTCTCTTAAATTCCTTTCTGCCAGTCCTCCTCCTCATCTCACTTAGCCCAATATTGTCATGGCTTGCTGCAGGCATCTTTCACAATTAAATGCATGAATATGTATTTATTTATTTGTATACAAGAAGGTATACATTGGGTTTTGTGGGTATACATATAACATTGTTGTTCTTACATTCTTGCAAGGCCACTAACAGTAAGTTCAGTAAAGCGTTGCCTTTTTAGGCAGGAATAAGAACAAAAATTACAGACACATATTCATACAATATACATAAAATATATATACAATATACATAAATTATATACACAGGGGATCTGTGTTGCCAGATTGGGCTAAAAGTAGCGAATTGGGCTACTTTTGACAGCCCTGGCGCTCCCCATTTTTTTAATCTCGCTACTTGTGACTTTTTGGGCTAATTTCAAAATAAATTGAGCTACTTTGGGCTATTAAAGTTAACAAACTCAATGATTGATTAATTATATTTTTTATAATATAATGTGTACAAACCACAGCCGCGTCCGTTTGACTATAGACTTGAATTTGACCAATCAATATAGACCAATCAATTTTGAATTTGAATTTGAATTTTGAATAACCGCAGATCTGCCAGTGACCGGGCCCTTGGGGACGTTGATCCTCGTAACCTTCGGAATACTCCCTTAGGTAATAGGTAATACCTTAGGTAATACTCCCCAGGGCTGATCTAGATTTCCCTAACCTTAAGTGTTATTAATATTTCATCCCGGGTATAATATCTTTGCACGCAGCCCATCCTCCTGAAATGAGAGTACCTCACTGTGTGATGGAATATGCCAATTACACACAGAAATCACAATAGCGTAATGCATCAAATGAACAAATCCATAAGGGCCGTGACGAGGGTTCAAACCTATGTCCGAGAGGATCGTAGGGTCGATGTTAAATATACCAATATTTTATGTGTATGGAAGAAAACGCGCGCATAGTGGGGGGTACCTGTTTATTTAATAATAATAATAATAAATAATAAATATTATTATTATTATTATTATTAATGATAATAATAATAATAATAATAATAAATAATAATAATAATAATTACAACAATAATAAGTGGCGTGTCACCCAGTTTTCCACATTAAATAAATAGAAGTTAGTTTTGTCAGAGGTTTTAATTTGTGAACAAACAAAGTAAGATAGGTCAGTATGATTATAATAACTTAATTTAGTGATAGTCCTGGGGCCAGATTTACGAAAGGACTTACGCAAGTACTTACGAACCTGTACATCTTTCCTCAATCTTTGACGGCTTTGTTTACATTTATTAAACAGTTTACAAGCATGAAAACTTGCCAATCAACTGTTGTTATTGTTATAAACAGCCTCCTGGTGCTTCGGAGCTCATTAACTGTTTAATAATTGTAAACACAGCCGCCAAAGATTTAGAAAAGATGTGCAGGTTCGTAAGTGCTTGCGTAACTGCTTCGTGAATCTGGCCCCTGGTATGTATGACAGTGAGAAGCTTAGGCAAGGCTTTTCCAGGAGTATTGAATAAGCCTCCCTGTAATTGGGACAACCAGTACTAAAGGCCGACCTTCTACCATTTTACTAGAATATCTCAGTAACTCTACAAGAGCTGGAACATACTCTCCAACATTATATCTGTGATTGTCCTGTTATCAGTGACTTCAGACCAAATGGTATGAGGTACTTTGAGCTCTGTAATTACTTCATACACTCAGGAATATTGGAAGATATTCTTGTGCTGTACCCACATTTTGCTAGTGGAGGCTAATCGATCAGCCATACACTAAGTGGCTCCCAGAACTGAAGGGCAAGAGCTTCGAGGAGAGGTTAGAGGCATTAAATATGCCAAAACTGGAAGACAGAAGAAAAAGAGGTGATATGATCACTACATACAAAATAGTAACAGGAATTGATAAAATCGACAGGGAAGATTTCCTGAGACCTGGAACTTCAAGAACAAGAGGTCATAGATATAAACTAGCTAAACACAGATGCCGAAGAAATATAAGAAAATTCACTTTCGCCAACAGAGTGGTAGACGGTTGGAACGAGTCAGGTGAGAAGGTGGTGGAGGCCAAGACCGTCAGTAGTTTCAAAGCGTTATATATGACAAAGAGTGCTGGGAAGACGGGACACCACGAGCGTAGCTCTCATCCTGTAACTACACTTAGGTAATTACACTTTATGTTCTCTCCTGATTCCATGTATGATAACCATCCTGTGAGATGGGAATATTAAATGAACTTATAGACAGTTTTTAATCTACACTGTGTAATCTTTCCTACAGACTAGGGTAGCAGCATATTGCTATGTATATCTAAGTTTGTTAATAAAACAAGTAAAAAGAAATTAAATAAACTTTATCAAATGTGTAAACAAATATATTAAATATGCTATACTAACTATGCAGAGAAATAGTTCACTGCTGAAATCTACAGGAATTTCAGATCAGCGATTGTCTTCAGTACGAGGCATTTTCCAGTTCAATTACGGCATAGAGGCATCACCAGAGGAAAATGACATTGCACACAATCTTGCGTGAGTACGTCCCTGTCAATTGAGCACCACTTTGGCTCTGGCCAGTAACTGGATGGGTGACAGCACGGACAGCTTCGTCTTGGGTTGGGGAAATTTTAATAAACGCAATACGTTCCAAGAAAGCTTAAGATATTCAGGATAGTTTTTCATACTTTAGAAGACAGCACCTCAACACCTCAGCATTCAACACACAACAAGATGAACTTACATTCTTCATTATCAACTAATCCATCACTAACAAAATGATTTGCAATCCGTTCTCGCACTTGCTTATAGTCAATATTGGCTTATTTAATAAGTGCATATGTGACATACTAATTGATTGTGAATATTTTAGTTTACCTTGAAAAGCTTCATAGAAAACACCGACCTCACCTAACCTTCTTAGTATGTTAAGATAAGCATCTTATTGCTTCTTAATTACAATTATTACTTAACCTATCAACGTACCTATACACACACACATACAGTTCATTTGCTCATATCATTAACCCTGAACCCACTATAAAACCATGCATCTATCTTGCTTATAAATACGAATTTAATGCAGGTAATTAAATTATAATTTCCCCTCGTTCAATGAGTTTCATAGCTATTTGACTTCAGCAAAACCCACTCGATTATTTCCAAGGTCGAATTCCGTGTAGAAGCGACCAATGAAGACGTCTCCGAGAATCCAAAGGGGTCCCATTGGAGGCGGTACATCAAGGCCAATAAACCCAGACAGGCATGTCACCTCACCCATGTGGCTCACCTGTCAAGAAGAAATTGGTAAACACAAATTGTAATTAACAAACCAATCTATTAATAGAATTAAAAAATCTATTCACAATCGACTTGAGAATGGTCCAGGACGGACCGAAACGTCGTCGTCCCTTTACCTTCTAGTGTGTGGTCTAGTCAACAAGAATTAAAGAAATTATAGATATCTATTAAGAGAATCAAAGAAACTATAGATTTCTATTAATAGAATTAAAGAAATTATAGATTTCTATTAATAGAATTAAAGAAATTATAGATTTTCACGTGAAAACAAAGGTTGTAATTTTAGTAAGGTATTTTTAATTACATAATGATCACTTAATGCTATTTTTTTCACTTGCCTTGAGAATATAGTCTTTACCCTCCAAGGTGAAAGTCTTTCCCTTTAGAATAAAAGAAATCTTGGGCAGTTTAGAGATGGAACTGCAGTCCACCTCCCATTGTCCTTCAGAAACAAGGCTTGCACCCATCTGAAACATGAGGCTTCAACATTGTATTATTTGTGTATGGGTCTAAAAAAAAAAAAATTAATTTGTGCGCCCCTTGAGGGACTTGAAGTAGAGGGGGGTAGAAATAGCCTAAGCTACTCTATCCCTTTGAGATGTATTTATTGCTTATCTCAATAAACATACTTGAACTTGAACTTGGTCAAAAATTAGTTGAGCTAAGTGCTCGGTTCATGTCATCAACAGGGAGAGTCTTACTGAAGTGTATGGGAATTAGTATGTATGTTAATATGGACTTTTTTTGAACTCTTTTGCTTCAAAACCCTCTAGAACAAACTGTGTCACAGGGTCGACTAGCATTTTAATACAAATATTATTGCTTTACATTTTGTTTTAAAGTGTGTGATATATCAAAATTGGTATAAAAAAGTTTGATATATCACTGAAAGTGATTAAAACAAAAACTATAGTATTTCTATAGATATACAATATCATATACAGTACAATGAATAAGCTTAAGTATTAAAGGATTTTTTAATATTGGTTAATTTGTTAAATGTCAAATTGCAAGGATAAGGGGCCAGATTCACGAAGCAGTTACGTAAAGTACTTACGAACGTGTACATCTTTCCTCAATCTTCGACGGCTTTGGTTACATTTATTAAACAGTTTACAAGCATGAAAACTTGCCAATCAACTGTTGTTATTGTTATAAACAGCCTCCTGGTGCTTCGGAGCTCATTAACTGTTTAATAATTGTAAACAAAGCCGCCAAAGATTGAGAAAAGATGGACAGGTTCGTAAGTGCTTGCGTAACTGCTACGTGAATCTGGCCCAAGGTGTACAACGTATGCACATACAATCAGAGTTATACGTGTAGCCTACAATGGGAATCATACGTGTACAATACAAAGTCAAAGTTGATATAGTTGGAAATTGTGAAAGCACACAAGAAAAATACAGGCTACCTGAACAAATCCACAAGGGCCGTGACGAGGATTCGAACTTACGTCCGAGAGCATCTCAGACGTGTCTCAGCCCTTGTGAATTTGTTCATTTGATACATCACGCTATTGTGATTTCTGTGTGGATAGAGAGAGAGAGAGAAGATTAAGCCACCCAAAAGGTGGCTAGGGCATGAATAGCCCATAAGTGGTGGCCCTTTTGAGCCATTACCAGCATCAATAGATGATACTGGAGATCTGTGGAGGTGCGACTGCACCCTGCGTGACGGGAGATGTCTCCCGTCTGTGTGGATAGGCTACCTCTTCGTTGATTATCCGCGCTGCTGCACGGGGAGCAGCAATGAGAGAGGTGCCCGTGTCTGCTATAGCTTCACACCCACCACGGCACAATGGCGCCGGGGTCCCATTTATCTTCAGCCTGGCGAGTTTAATACAATTATTTAAAGGCTTTCTAATGAAAGGTATAACTTAATCTATAACTTTTTTGAGGTTAAAGAAATGAATTTGACATATATCATCAAAGATCATCAAGGCAAATGGGGGGGACCTTCGACAAGCCGCCGAATTCCTGTCCTACTCGAGGCCATTAGGATTTGTGGCCGTCATGTAAATATCATTCTGATAAACTGTAACTATAGATGACTTTGTCTTGTAAAATGGCCCTTCTCTTGATATTTATATTCGTAACTACATTCACGCCAATAAACTCGCTCCATAAAGACATAACCCGTTCCCCATTAATGGTGGTTAAAAGTGTACCCATTTTGCACAAAAGTGCAAAACTTGCACTAAAAGTGCCACCAACCTGCATGCTTGCTATGGCAAATTTTCTTTAGACTTAGTTTTTGATTTAACTGCATATTTAATTTTGTAGGTCTAAAAATGTGTAATTCAAGTTGAAAATAGATGGCGACTTGAGAAAGTGCACTTGAATCGATTCAAGGCGACTTGAGAATGGTCCAGGACGGACCGGAGCGTCGTCGTCCCTTCACCTTCTAGTGTGTGGTCTGGTCAACATACTTTAGCCACGTTATTGTGACTCATCGCCTGTAGATGGCGCCAGTCATGTGTCCAAGCACTGAAGTCCAACACATGACCTGTTTATGCAATGTAACTCACATAACAAATGGCAAGAAGTGATCGGTACAAAATTCTAGTGTTAGCCAATCATCTTGATGGCTGACGATTTTCATTCCCAATACAGAACCAACCACTTGGGCTGGACGGTAGAGCGACGGTCTGGCTTCATGCAGGTCGGCGTTCAATCCCCGACCGTCCACAAGTGGCTGGGCACCATTCCTTTCCCTCCGTCCCATCCCAAATCCTTATCCTGACCCCTTCCAAGTGCTATATAGTCGTAATGGCTTGGCGCTTTTCCCCCCTGATAGTTCCATTCCATTCCCAATACAGAAAAATGGCTGCTACCACTATGGTGTAAAAAAAAAACCGTGAATATTGCCCAATTATGAAAGCATTCTAGTTATCATCATACATTACAGCTTAAAACTTCAAGAAGATGAACTGGCATCTCCTAGAATCTTGCGGACAAGAACAAAAGGGAAACTTTAAAATATATACTTAAGAGGCCGATTACAGTAGTTATTGTACTTACCCATCCATCCTAAACTGCCAGTAGCCCTTGCGATCCACAGGTAAATATGTAAAGTTTCCTTTATAGAACTTCGGGTCTGATCCCCCCAGCATCATAACTCCTCCTTCACGAGCGTTTGGGTCCCTGTGGTCTCAAAAATTATTATTTTAGAACAGAATTTGCCCAATATATTATATTTCTAAATAAAACATGACATAGTTTGATTTGCATAACTGGGGCTTTCAAATTTACATCCATTGATGTATTGCACCAATATAATTTGCACAAAAATAGATTTTCGCCAGGAAAATCTATTTTGTGAAGATATACATTCAACGAAAACATTAAACAAATCTCCTTTTACCTGTTGAGATAAAAGCTGAAAACTGGAGCCTGAAGCAACTTTTGCTTGACCATGTTGTAGAAGACAGGCACGACGCCTTTCACAGCAATATTGTCAAACGCCATGCCAAAAACACCGTCAAACTTGGCCGCTACGAAAACCATGCCGGGTTCGTTGACAGCCTCGGCGAACGTCTGGTTACGAACCGTCAGCGAACCGACCTGGTGGACCGAGCGAGGGAATTATCAGGAGGAAAGCACTAGGCCATTAAGTCACTTAGAAATAGTTTAGATGGTAATAAATGTAAAGCTTAAGTCTAGAAAATTTGTCCCATAAACAAATTACATCAAATATTTCTAATACAAAAATATAAAAAGTTAAATTTTCTCCATAAAATAAATATCAACGCTATAAACAGCCTAAAAATAATAACTCAAGAACTCCAACAAATTCCATTCCACTAGGCTGTATGGGGCTCGAGCCTAGGACACTACGTGTGTGAGGCTGAAGCCCTGTCGACTCCAACTCCATTTGAGAACAAAGTTTTGTAGATCTCAAAGTAAAAGCTACACTATAGCTTTTCCAGTTATCATCAAGTTATCACACGAAAAGACCCCGGTAGTAATGGGTCATCTTGAGGATATCTTGAGATGATTTCGGGGCTTTTTAGTGTCCCCGCGGCCCGGTCCTCGACCAGGCCTCCACCCCCAGGAAGCAGCCCGTGACAGCTGACTAACACCCAGGTACCTATTTTACTGCTAGGTAACAGGGGCATAGGGTGAAAGAAACTCTGCCCATTGTTTCTCGCCGGCGCCTGGGATCGAACCCAGGACCACAGGATCACAAGTCCAGTGTGCTGTCCGCTCGGCCGACCGGCTCCCTCTCATCCAATAAAATCAGACACCTAGATACTACACTTGACTTAGACTGTTATAAATATCTGAAAGTTTGCACTACCGTCCCATGTAGACCTGACCAAATATAAACTCAGCTCAATTATTCACACAGCCTGCATAACTGCGTGATGAAATGTGAACAATTCAAATCTAAAAATTATCACAAATATTACAGAAATGTGCATTTCTTTAAAAATTATGTACCTCCAGAAATCCTAGCAAAGTATCCAAAGTTTGTTTACTGTAAAATGTGCATTAATTGCCCATGACTGTACCTTTACATGTTCGCTGCATGGGGGTTAAGGCACACCATCTTGAGGTTATCTTGAGATGATTTCGGGGCTTTAGCGTCCCCGCGGCCCGGTCCTCGACCAGGCCTGCACCCCCAGGAAGCAGCCCGTAGCAGCTGTCTAACTCCCAGGTACCTATTTACTGCTAGGTAACAGGGGGGCATCAGGGGTGAAAGAAACATTTTGCCCATTTGTCTCCACCTCCACCGGGGATCGAACCCGGAACCTCAGGACTACGAATTTGAAGCGCTGTCTACCCAGCTGTCAGGCATCATTAGGCAAAATTAAAATTATATGTCGATATAAAATTATATCATCTCACCGCAAATGCCAATTACTTGGCTTCAAAATCATTAATAGTTCAGTACCTGAACCCATGATGCGATACTGATCTTTCTGTCACTCACCCACATGAAGGGTTTGGGTCCTAAATAAGATAATTTAATTACAACTCCGTGGTTGTGTTAGGGCCTCTAGTGGTCACTGTAATAGTCTGATGAACCGAACAGACCATTGCTGTATATGTTAAACTACCTCACTGACATAACTTAGCTAAATTTGGATGGCACGCAAATTTGATTGTCTCAAAAATTACCCCAAACTTTAAATTGCCCGAAACACTGTAATAGTGATTTTAAGCATAATATATACTAGTTCTATTTAGAAATACAACATTCCTCATACTGCACCCAGAGTCTGTCAGTGTAGACTACTGATCACATGCCTCTGTATGACTAACCATCCTGTGTGATGGGGATTTTTAGCATCACGTAGCTAGCTTTTTGACACACTGTACTCCCCTTCATATAGCCTAGGGCAGCTGTGCAAATGCAGATATAAATGTGTTAATAAAACAAAAATACTCCCCAAATTATTATTTCTCCCCTAAATTATTAAGCATAGCTTATTTCGTAGAAAATGTTGCTTTGAGTTTCACGTTTCGAACGAAATATATTGAACAAAGCATGAGAACTTTTGTTGAAGATTAAAGCCACTACAAGAGATGGGACGAGCATGAGTATAACCCATAGGTGGTAGATTTTTGGAGTCAACTGTGGTCTTAGGCTACTAAGACTCGTCTTCTGATATCATTGGGCATCAGACTTTGTAAGGCACAGTACATGGGGGTAAAATAGATACAAGACTCACCCTGACAGTGTCAGTAGACAGGAAACCAGAGAGGGAACCGGTGCCATATTGGATGGAAAAGGCCGTTCCATTTCTCCTGTACGTAGAAGACTTGGCAGAATCGTACTTGTTGTGGATCACTGCAGTAAACAGAAATGATTCTTGTTGTCAGTCATATATCCAAGCAGATCACAGGTGTCAGAATATCAACAAGTATACACATCAGGGACAGATATTCATCCCAAAATTAAGGAATAATCGATTAAAAGAACAAGAATTCAAATCACAAGCGAGTCAGACACTGGATAACATGTTCATATGTAAAAATCTACGGCCGGTACAGTTTTTAAGAACAGTTATAATTAAAATAGTCTAAATTAAATACAGCAGTGCATTAATGGCTAGAAGGCGGGGTACCAGGAGCCTGATCCGTCCCCAGACTGATAGAGCCACAACCCTGTTACATTTCCCACATGTAACACAGAACTGTCTATTTTAGCTAAAGGCGGGGTACCAGGAGCCTGATCCGTCCCCAGACTGATAGAGTCACAACCCTCCACGAGACATACATTTCCCACATGTAACACAGCTGTATTTTAGAAATAGCCTAAGCTACTGTATCCCTTTGAGGTGTATTTCTTTCTTGTCTCGATAAACATACTTGAACACAGCTGTATGGTATTGTAGTGTAACTAGGAGTATTGTAGTGTAACTAGGAGGGGGTTTTAATCCTTCTACCATAGACGTGGCTACACACTTACAATGCTAATCAGCATATATACATTTTCTTCTGTCCTCCATAGACAGGGTTAGAGAGCGGTTAAACATATAATTCAGTGATTTATTGAACAATCAACCACAGGTGATTGTAGTGCTCTTAAAATGCTAATCTAACCTACAGACATAAATACACAGATTTACGTCTGTCCTACAATGTTCGAGGTGTATTTTTATATCGTGTATTTACAAAGGAGAAATACAATTCTGACCAGCTTCAACATACTCGGTATATATATATACCGGTATATATACATACTCGGTATATATATATACCGGTATATATACATACTCGGTATATATATATATATATATATATATATATATATATATATATATATATATATATATATATATATATATATATATATATATATATATATATATATATATATATATATATATATATATATATATATATATATATATGTCGTACCTAGTAGCCAGAACTCACTTCTCAGCCTACTATGCAAGGCCCGATTTGCCTAATAAGCCAAGTTTTAATGAAATAATTGTTTTTCGACTACCTAACCTACCTAACCTAACCTAACCTAACTTTTTCGGCTACCTAACCGAACCTAACCTATAGAGAGAGGTTAGGTTAGGTTAGGTAGGGTTGGTTAGGTTCGGTCATATATCTACGTTAATTTTAATTCCAATAACAAAAAATTGACCTCATACATAATGAAATGGGTAACTTTATCATTTCATAAGAAAAAAATTAGAGAAAATATATTAATTCAGGAAAACTTGGCTTATTAGGCAAATCGGGCCTTGCATAGTAGGCTGAAAAGTGCGTTCTGGCTACTAGGTACGACATATATATATATATATATATATATATATATATATATATATATATATATATATATATATATGTCGTACCTAGTAGCCAGAACGCACTTTTCAGCCTACTATGCAAGGCCCAATTTGCCTAATAAGCCAAGTTTTCACGAATTAATTGTTTTTCGACTACCTAACCTACCTAACCTAACCTAACTTAACTTTTTCGGCTACCTAACCTAACCTAACCTATAAAGATAGCTTAGGTTAGGTTAGGTAGGGTTGGTTAGGTTCGGTCATATATCTACGTTAATTTTAACTCCAATAAAAAAAAATTGACCTCATACATAATGAAATGGGCAGCTTTATCATTTCATAAGAAAAAAAATTGAGAAAATATATTAATTCAGGAAAACTTGGCTTATTAGGCAAATCGGGCCTTGCATAGTTGGCCGAGAAGTGCGTTCTGGCTACTAGGTACGACATATATATATATATATATATATATATATATATATATATATATATATATATATATATATATATATATATATATATACACATACCCCTATGTCTCTCCTACTTTGACAGGGTAAGATAGCTTCTATAGAAACTAGTGTGAAATTAAACTGTTAACCACTGAAGGTGATTAAGATGCTTGTACAAACTCAGGTTATAGGTACATGCATTGTATAACAGGTGTATTACATATTGTATAGGTACAATACATTGTATAACAGATGTATTACATTGTCAATCTTGGGTACAAGTCCAATATATCAAGTGTTCCAGTATTCATATAGTAGTTGGATAGACAACTACTATGCATGTGCATAGTATGGTTAGAGGGGGACATGATCACCACATACAAGATTCTCAGAGGAATTGATAGGGTAGATAAAGACAGGCTATTTAACACAAGGGGCACACGCACAAGGGGACACAGGTGGAAACTGAGTACCCAAATGAGCCACAGGGACGTTAGAAAGAATTTTTTCAGTGTCAGAGTAGTAGACAAATGGAATGCATTAGGCAGTGATGTGGTGGAGGCTGACTCCATACACAGTTTCAAGTGTAGATATGATAGAGCCCAATAGGCTCAGGAATCTGTACACCTGTTGATTGACGGTTGAGAGGCGGGACCAAACACATGTCAAATTTGACAAATACATCACTGACAAAGATAAGAATATTGCAAACCACTTCAAATTTGCAGACGACTCTAATATGTCTGGTAAAATAGGAAGACTGGCAAATGATTTTAATATCGACCAATCTGACGTTGCATGAAGGGCATAATAATGGGCACTATCATTACCATATCAACAAGAGATGTTTTTTCACCAAACAGAATTATAAACTAATGGAACCGCCTACCCGCCGAAGTCGTAAATATAAAAACATTATTGCAAAATCAAAATCCGGCTAGATAAAATAATCAGGATAAATGGGGAGACCTTTGACAAGGTGCTGATCCAGTTACAGCCCCGCTCCTGTGCCAGGTAATCCACTACGGGCTCACCATAGCCCGTGCTACTTTGGAACTTTTGTTCTAAGTAGCTGAATCTAAAACAACAACAACAACAGCTGTTGATCGGCTTCCTGATCCTCATCGAGGCCACTAGAGATATAATGACCTCAGGTAAATTTCAGGCAACTGAATAAAAACTAAAAATTCGTGAAAATTTCACATTAATTTAATATCGTAATCCCTCAACGCTCGCGTACACCGCCTGTCAAGTGACAGCTTAAAAGGAGACTAAAAATATTATACAATACACTAGAAGGTGAAGGGACGACAACGTTTCGGTCCGTCCTGGACCATTCAGACAATGGACTTGAGAATGGTCCAGGACGGACCGAAACGTCGTCGTCCCTTCACCTTCTAGTGTGTGTGGTCTGGTCAACATACGTCAGCCACGTTATTGTGACTCATCGCCTGCATTATACAATAAGCTTATTAATACATCGTAGCGAAGCTGCTTCGCCTCCAGCTTGAATGCAATTTATTTACTGTAATCAAGCAAGTAATTTTCATATTTATGTTATCATATTTATGTTATCATATTTATGTTATCATATTTGTTATCATATTTATGTTATCATATTTATGTTATCATATTTATGTTATCATATTTATGTTATCATATTTATGTTATCATATTTATGTTATCATATTTATGTTATCATATTTATGTTATCATATTTATGTTATCATATTTATGTTATCATATTTATGTTATCATATTTATGTTATCATATTTATGTTATCATATTTATGTTATCATATTTATGTTATCATATTTATGTTATCACTCCCTTCTATAGTTAAGCGGAAAGACGCACGATTATTCGTGACTAAAAAAACTTTATAGAAAAATGATTTTATCTTCATATTGTTAAAAACTAAAAACCAGCTGTTAAAAAAATTAATTAAACGAAACGCAACTGGTACCTTCTTGTCCTCGACGAGGCTACTAGAGACAGTGGCCCTCGGGTAAATTCAGGTGGATAATAGATGGTACACACAGAAATCACAATTGCGTGATGCACAAATGAACAAATCCACAAGGGCCGTGACGAGGCTTCGAACCTACAAACCGGGCCTTGCATAGTAGGCCGAGAATTTACGACTAAGGCAGCGTCTGGGATGCTCTCGGACGCAGGTTCGAATCCTCGTCACGGCCCTTGTTCACAATAGATGGTACTCACAGCAGGCGATGTTTGTGTGTGAACAGCGTCTGGATGGGACCCACAGGTTGGACGAGCCAGTGTCGAAGATCACCTTGAAGGACTGAGGAGGAGTTCCGATGGTAATAGTCCCATAATACTGCGCCTGCAAATATACACAATACACAGTATAATATACATTGCTTATACATATAATATATATATATATATATATATATATATATATATATATATATATATATATATATATATATATATATATATTAGTGGTACCCCACCTGTTTGCGTTTGCAGGGACCCTCGGCCTCGAAGAAGAGGATATGTAGCATCCAGGAGAGCCTTGTTGAGGGGGGGGGGTGCAGTCGCCTACACTCCCATAGTGACCTACCACCACCACCAATATATTTATATTTTGCTATTCTATTTAAAACTTCATTGCACACAATGGGTTACACCATTGGTTACATACGAGGGTTAGTTGTCGAGTTCCTCCAGCTCCTCAGATGGCGGGCAGGAACCATGGATGCAGTGAGCATGTCCTCTCTGGATCGCCACACTAAGGCGCTGGAAGATGACGCTGGCGGCTTTGGGGGTCCTCTTGTTATTTCAATTAGCATAGAACCCATTAACTCCTTTTTAAAAAACTGGCAGCACTCTTAGCCCCCAGGCACCAAGTGTCTCTGAGGCAATGGGGATAAAAAATTGTAGTGGTGCTCGATCTCTGTATTTACGAGACTTGGCTGCTTCCATGTGAGTGACAGGGAAGCAGCGAGATAGCATGGGCCCGCTCTGCCAAAGCATAGAAGGATAGCACGCAAGACAGAGAGGTCAGTGACATCATCAATCGACTTGAGAATGGTCCAGGACGGACCGAAACGTCGTCGTCCCTTCACCTTCTAGTGTGTGGTCTGGTTAACATCAGCCTTACCCCGGCCGGTGGTCCAGCAGAGGGGCGTGGGAGGAAGGATAGTTGTACCAACCCTCCTCAGATGGGATCAGAGACCAAGGATAGTGATACCCAACACCCAAGAGCTACCCACAAGAGCCCCATGGCGTGTCCAGGGCATCCCACACAGGGAGCGCCTGGTGGTTACCACACCGTCACACCAGTAGCCGCTCAGATCACACCAGTAGTCGCTCAGATCACACCAGTAGCCGTTCAGATCACACCAGTAGCCGCTCAGATCTCACCAGTAGCCGCTCAGATCACACCAGTAGCCGCTCAGATCACACCAGTAGCCGCTCAGATCACACCAGTAGCCGCTCAGATCACATCAGTAGCCGCTCAGATCACACCAGTAGCCGCTCAGATCACACCAGTAACCGCTCAGATCACATCAGTAGCCGCTCAGATCACACCAGTAGCCGCTCAGATCACACCAGTAACCGCTCAGACCACACCAGTAGCCGCTCAGACCACACCAGTAGCCGCTCAGATCACACCAGTAGCCGCTCAGACCACACCAGTAGCCGCTCAGACCACACCAGTAGCCGCTCAGATCACACCAGTAGCCGCTCAGATCACACCAGTAGCCGCTCAGATCACACCAGTAGCCGCTCAGATCACACCAGTAGCCGCTCAGATCACACCAGTAGCCGCTCAGATCACATCAGTAGCCGCTCAGATCACACCAGTAGCCGCTCAGATCACACCAGTAACCGCTCAGATCACATCAGTAGCCGCTCAGATCACACCAGTAGCCGCTCAGATCACACCAGTAACCGCTCAGACCACACCAGTAGCCGCTCAGACCACACCAGTAACCGCTCAGACCACACCAGTAGCCGCTCAGATCACACCAGTAGCCGCTCAGATCACACCAGTAACCGCTCAGACCACACCAGTAGCCGCTCAGATCACACCAGTAGCCGCTCAGACCACACCAGTAGCCGCTCAGACCACACCAGTAGCCGCTCAGACCACACCAGTAGCCGCTCAGATCACACCAGTAGCCGCTCAGATCACACCAGTAGCCGCTCAGATCACAACAGTAGCCGCTCAGATCACACCAGTTGCCGCTCAGATCACACCAGTAGCCGCTCAGATCACACCAGTAGCCGCTCAGATCACACCAGTTGCCGCTCAGGTCACACCAGTAACCGCTCAGATCACTCCAGTAGCCGCTCAGATCACACCAGTAGCCGCTGAAGTCATAGGTGTAACTTTCCAGGAGGCCTGACGACCGGGCCGCGGGGACGCTAAGCCCCGGAAGCACCTCAAGGTAAGGTACACTAATCCACATCAACACACACACACAAACACAATATAATGGCGCCGTTAACATTACTTGGCAACACAGAGGTAAAGACCATCCTTTAAAGATATAATTTAGATAAAACACATATAAGGAGATCAACGAAAATTCCAGTGGCGTGATATATCAGTGAAAATCCCAGCGAATTCAGCAGTGCTCCGGGCTGGTCGATTTGTGGTACCATCGTGGCTGAGTGGGTTCATAAGGCAGGTGTCTGGAGATCCCCAGAACGCGGGTTCAAGTCACTCTAAGGCCTCAAAATGATTTCCTTCAAGGAGACTATTAACAAGATACAGAAGACTTGAGAAAATGCTGCTAAGTGAGCCTACATGAGGCTAGTGGGCCTACATGAGGCTAGTGAGGCTAGTGAGCCTACATGAGGCTAGTGAGCCTACATGAGGCTAGTGGGCCTACATGAGGCTAGTGGGCCTACATGAGGCTAGTGAGCCTACATGAGGCTAGTGAGCCTACATGAGGCTAGTGAGCCTACATGTGGCTAGTGAGCCTACATGAGGCTAGTGAGCCTACATGAGGCTAGTGAGCCTACATGAGGCTAGTGAGCCTACATGAGGCTAGTGAGCCTACATGAGGCTAGTGAGCCTACATGAGGCTAGTGAGCCTACATGAGGCTAGTGAGCCTACATGAGGCTAGTGAGCCTACATGAGGCTAGTGAGCCTACATGAGGCTAGTGAGCCTACATGAGGCTAGTGAGCCTACATGAAGCTAGTGAGCCTACATGAGGCTAGTGGGCCTACATGAGGCTAGTGAGCCTACATGAGGCTAGTGAGCCTACATGAGGCTAGTGAGCCTACATGAGGCTAGTGAGCCTACATGAGGCTAGTGGGCGCGCATGAGGCTAGGATACGGATCGTCTGCAGTATACGCCACGCCACACGGAGGAAAACATGCAACACCTGGATTTACCTTAATTTACCCGAGAGCCACTAACACTAGTGGCCTCGACGACGACAGGTAGCCGGCGGCTTGTCGAAGGTCCCCCCCCCCCCCATTTGGCGAGTTTTGGCATTTACGGTTTCGGCGGATAGGCGGTTCCACAGGTTTCTAACCCTGTGGGTGAAAAAGCCTCTCCTGTGAAACTATTCCATCGTGACAGCAGAGGATATGCAAGAGCCCTGGAAGCTGTAGGCAAGATGGGCATCATCCTGGCGCCAAGCAGGACCAAAACGGACACACAAACTCATCACGATGGAATTGCAATGAACCTTCAACCTTTGAAAACATGTAATTTGCTCGAGGAAACTATATCCACTCAGGTCATTGATATCCACATGATATCCACACGGGGGAAGATTGTCAATCATTCCGGGTAACCCTACATGTCTTAGTGGCTTTGTAAAAACGTACCACTTAATCAACGTATGTACTTTCACAATACGTTGTACCTTCCTGTATAAAATAAATAAGTAAACCCATCACTATTACACAGTTTACAAGTGTACCACAGTAAACTTTATCACGACACACTGCCTCCTTTTGTGACTGGGGAACTTATCCTGCTGGTGGGTGACCTTGATGTCCAGCACCCACACACTGATGTGAATTGCAATCAGTACAATATTCATGGAGGGAACGGATTACGTAGGGAAAAGAAGGATACTATAAAAGGACTGAAACCGACTCCACAAAAAAGTTCAATAAAGATGTGTGGCGTGCGAGGGAAGAGTGTCGGGGAGGTAGAAAAAGCCTAAGCTACTCTTTCCCTTTGAGATGCATTTTATTGTCTCAATAAAAATACTTGAGTGTCAGGCATCTCCGTCAAATTTATTGGAAACGACAACCAGCTATGTAGACAAAGGACTTCAGTAGGTGATACATGATATATGGACTTCTCTAACGCTTTTAATAAAGTACCCCATGATAGGTACTTTTAATAAAGTACCACATGGCAGGGAAAAACCTTGCCACATGGCAAGGAAATTATTAGCATATGGAATAAATGGTGGAATACGAGAATGGATAAAACAATGCTTAAAACAAAGTAAGCAAAGGGTCTTTCTAAACGGAAATGAATCTGACTGGAGAAATGTGGCGAGCGGTGTACCGCAAGGATCCATTTTGGGGGCCAACCCTTTTTGTCATATACATAATAACAAATGAGAACGTTGCAAACCATATCATCCAATTTCCACATGACACTTAAGATCTATGGTAAAGTGGGAAGTGAAAATAATACCGAGAACTCCACAAATGGTCAGAAGACTGGCAAATGATTTTTAATATTGAAAATGCAAGACCTTGCATGTGGGGCATAACAGAACACACAGATGCCTTACATCAGACTGATTAAGAAAAGCACCCAGGTGTTGATATCCACCAGTCACTCAAGTGCTCAAGTTTTTGAGCAACTTTCAGTGTTTGTTTTAGATTCAGCTACTGGGAACACAAAGTTGCAAGCAGCACGGGCTATGGTGATCCCGTCGTGCTCACCAGGCACAAGAAGACGTGCTACAAGTGAGTTGGTTCAACTTTTTTGACGTTGCAAATGCTCGCGAGAAAATGAGCTGGATAAAAATAATGGCAGAAATCACACCGACACCTAAGAAACATATCATTTTTAAAAAGGGGCACCACCTCTGGTGCAAGTATAGGGACCCATAGCCTCGGAGAAGAAAATAAGGAGTACTCAGAGAAGACCTTGTGGAACCTCACTGATTTTTTTAAATATATTTTCTGTTTTTTTAGTAGCATTAAATGTTGAGAAGGTGGTCTAGGCCGTACACAAGACTCACATCCATGTAGTTCGTCAGATGCTGAGTGACAGCGCCCGCGCGCTGCCATTTTCTCTGCAGGTGGACCAAGGCGGCGTTGACCTCGTGCAGAGTCCGGCGCGCAGTTTTGAACTTGTGCAGTTGTAGCCTGAAATTGCGATACATCACTTTCACATTTCCACACGCTGTAAACTGTATCATTTTCATGTACAGTTTACATTCAAATAACATGAATGTTATTTCTAGACCCCTGGGCTAGGGGAACAGGGGTAAATTACTCCAAATGAGGTAAAAAAAATTAATTTTGGACGTAATAAACGCTAAAATATACAAATAATTTTTTTTATTTCATGTTGCAACCCGTTCTCGCACTTGCTTATAGTCAATATGAAGATAGGTTAAGTAATAATTGTAAATATAAAGCAATAAGATGCTTATCTTAACATACTAAGAAGGTTAGGTGAGGTCGGTGTTTTCTATGAAGCTTTTCAAGGTAAACTAAAATATTCACAATCAATTAGTATGTCACATATGCACTTATTAAATAAGCCAATATTGACTGAAAGCAAGTGCGAGAACGGGTTGAAAATTTTAGATGACGTCAATAACACATTTTTCTAGTCAAAACTATTGAACCTGCAGGAAAAATCTTATGCGAGAGTTTCACTAATATTTCATACATAAATCACAACCAAAGTGGAACTATAAGTGTTAGGACTCAAGGAGGTTCTGAACCCCTAAGTTCAGTTCTCATTATAGCAACACTCCACGCTTAGTGCAGCTAATGTCAGTTATATTGTCTATAGTCAGGCCGTCCTCCTAAGGCCCCTAACGTCTAGAAACTGTCGTTCTAAAGTGCCCTGATCATACCCTACCAGAGAACCCAAAACAGAAAACGGGACAATATGTCAATTTCGCGAGCCGCTACGATTTTTTAGTACGACAGTTTTTGGTCTTAGGTGGAGTGTACGTAAAAAATTATGAGGTTCTATTAGGAGGACGGGTTGCAGTATGACACTTCACAGGTCTTATCAAATTGCACCGCATGTTGCTAAAGAGTTGAGAATTTAATGTTTCCGCATTGTTTTCAAGCGATATCCACTAAAAGTATATCAATATGTTTCTTAAATATACTTGATAGGCACTGTTACAACTAATATGAGTGGGGCTTCTATGGGGTTCTGGTAATATTAAGGGGTAAAGGTAGTTAGAAGACAAGAGTATCAAATATGGGAGAGCTAAAAGGCCCGGCCCCCAAAATAAACTATCCACCGTAGTAATAACTTGCTACAAGACCAAATATGTTAGTCTAAGGGTTGATCACTGCGCTCCCACCTTGGAAGAAGAGATACTCTGTAATTCATGTACTTATTTATTAACCCGTTAACAACCCCCCATATACACTCACACCAATAACAATAATAATAATAACTTTACCACACTATCTTACGTTAAAAGCCTTGGTCCACGTAGGCAGGATACAAGGTTTACACTAATAACAAGCTAGGGTAAAGTACTACTGGATAAGCACTGAAGCTGGATGCAGCTTAGGGTAGTGAAACCACGTGGGACCCTAATACAAACCACAACACTTAGGGGTACCCAAACACTGGCAAAATACTATCCCCAGGTCTCACCAATCGTTACTACCAGAGTAGGCACACTCACTAATGCCCTGTACTTAGCTTAAGGATACAGGAACTTCAGGTAAGGGAAATAAGTAAGAGGAGAAGGAAGGAGAGTAGGGGAGCAGCCACAGAGTAGGTCTTATCCACACACACCAGCCAGAGAGAAGACCGAGCTCCTCGCGACCACCTGGCCTCCCTCATGTCGTGGTGCCGGAAGGAGCCTAATTGATCGTGCAGCTAAGCACATTAAAGATCTTCCCCTATGCAACGTATTGTTACTTTATGAATGATTAGAAAGTATTAGTAAGCAAAGTTGGTGCCTATGTTATTATTTAATAATCAACCCCCAGCTCAGTCTTTAAATGCTCTTTGAGAAACAATAATAGTCTTACGTCTGGCAGGGAAGATACAAACAATTTCCATTCGAAATGCGCCAACTGTACTACTTAGGAAGTTTAATAGCTCAATTTTGACCTCTGGTTTCCACTGGAGAACCCAGGGTCATAACACTCCTCCCCCCTTCAGAGAAAAAAAAATGTGACTACTAGAATAGTAGTCATATTTTTTTGTAAGAGTATACAGAGAACAAAAAGAAAAACATATGACAAACAAAAAATCAATCAAAAGCAATTTCTCTGCAAAAAAACAAAACAAAAAACAAAGGAGTTCTCTGAAAGAAAAAAAAAAAAAACATACACAAAAAAAATAAAGGAACAGGGAAGTAAATAAATTGGACACGGAATATTTAATGTCACAGGAGAACCTAAAAAAAAAATAACTAAAGCATGACAGTTGGTAAATGGCTTTCTGTGGCTCAGATGAATGTTATTCAGGCAACCGGGACAGAGCGTCGGCTATCACGTTGAGTCTGCCCGGTAGGTGGGTAATGGAAAGATTGAAGTCCTGTAGGTACAACGCCCACCTGAGGATGCGTTTATTCTTACCCTTCATCTGAGTCAGGAAGACTAGTGGGTTATGGTCCGTGTACACTTCCACTATATTACCTGTGAGGTAAACTTCGAACTTTTTACATGTTAACACTAGCGCCAACGCCTCTTTTTCTACCACTGAATAATTGCGTTGCGCCTTGTCGAATTTCACAGAGTAATAATATACTGGGTGTTCCACCTGATCATCCCCAGTTTGCAACAACACTGCACCAGCACCCGAGTCAGACGCGTCAACATGAATTTTAAACGGTCGAACCTTGGACTAGCAAGCACTGGGGCGGAAGCTAAGATCAATTTCAAATTTTTAAATGCCTCTGCACAGTCTGATGACCACTTAAATTTAACGGCTTTCCGCAACAAGTCTGTGAGAGGAGTGGCAACACTGGAAAAGTTCTGACAAAAACGTCGATAGTACGCACACATACCGATAAATCTTTGAACGTCCTTTTTAGACTTTAGTACTGGATACTCCAGAATGGCATTGATTTTATCTTGCCGAGGTAACACTTTTCCTTGGCCCACTTCATAACCGAGGTACGTCACTGTGCCTTGGCCAAAATGACACTTTTTAGCATTTAAGGTAAGATTTGCCCTTTTCAAGATGGCAAACAACTGGCGTAACCTAGCTATGTGGTCAGCCCAATTACTGTCAAACAGCACGATATCATCTAAATACGCCCGACGATTTGGCACCTTAGCGAGTAGAGAGTTCATGAGTCTCTGGAACGTGGCAGGGGCATTACGCACGCCGAACGGTAACACTTGATACTCAAAAACACCCTCGGGTGTCACGAACGCAGTGAGCTGTTTAGCACGTTCAGTGAGTGGGATTTGATAATACCCCCTCGAGAGGTCGAATTTCGAAACGTACTTGGCATTTCCCAACTCGTCGATGCAGTCCTCGAGGAGGGGCAGCGGATAGGCATCCACAATGGTCACCTTGTTGAGCTGCCGATAGTCGGTGCATAATCGCCAGGAGCCGTCTGGTTTGGGGACCAAAAGGCAGGGCGAGCACCAAGAGCCCTGGCTCGGCCGGATGAGGCCGTGCTGGAGCAAGAAGTCGACCTCCTTCCGTACGATGGCCTTCTTTTCTGGACTCATCCGATAGGGTTGAAGGCGAATGGGAGTGTAGTCCGTCAACTCGACATCATGGCAAATGGCATCAGTCTGGGTCGGGACCTCCCCGAACAGACTGGAGAATTCATCAACCAACGACTGCACCTCTTCACGTTGGGCCATCTGCAAATGGGACAGTTCCTCCACAGCATTCACAGAACTAGAATTATTGAAAATGAGATTAGTTGGGTCCCCAGAACAATCATCCCCTCTCTCACTGGAAATGGAAACATTGGTTAGTGCAATGGGCCTGGGGCCCTGGAACTTCTTCAGTCGATTTACATGTATGAGCATTACCTGGTTACGTTTGTCAGAGTGCCTCACTTTGTACGTGAGGTCCCCCGTCTTTTCTGTCACAATGTAGGGGCCTTCGTACTTGTGGGACATAGTGTTCCCTAGTCGAGGCTTTAATACCAGGACAGGGTCGCCAGGCTGAAATACCCGTAACTTAGATTTAGCATCGTTACGTTCTTTCATCTTTTCTTGGGCCTTGCCAAGATACTTAAATGCAGCCGCCTTGCAGTCCTTGAGTCTCTGGTGGTGTTGCGCAAAGAAAGCCGAACCTTCGGATAACGTTACGTTCCCTAACAGATTCTCCTGTAACATTTGCAAGGGTCCACGAACTTTATGGCCAAAGACTAACTCAAAAGGAGAACAGCCCAGTGAACTTTGTAATCCCTCTCTAGCCGCAAACAAAACATACGGTAAATTCTCATCCCAGAAGGTGTGGGAACTCTCGCACGATGTCTTCAACATCTGCTTCAGAGTTAGATGGAAACGTTCAATTACCCCCTGACTCTGTGGATGGTATGGGCTGGAAACCTTATGAGTTATTCCATGTTCCTTACAAAATTGCTCGAAAACATCAGACTTAAAATTAGTACCATTGTCAGTTTGCACGACCCGAGGCAGTCCAAAAGTGGAAAAAAATTGCAACATACGAGCAACAACAGTTTTTGCTCGGATGTTCCTTACAGCAAAAGCCTCTGGGTAACGAGTAGTGATACACATCATCGTGATTAGGTAAATATTACCAGACTTAGTTCTAGGTAATGGTCCAACACAGTCCATTACCACATGAGAAAATGGTTCCTCTGGCACGACAATAGGCCTTAGAGGAGCTTTAGGTGGAGTCTGGTTTGGTTTCCCAACCAGTTGACAAACAATACACGCATTACAAAATTTTGCCACATCGCTTTTCAGCTTGGGCCAGAAAAAATACTTTAAAATTTTGTGATACGTAATATTAATACCTTGATGTCCCCCCATAGGATCATCATGAGCAGCTGCCAAAACTCTTTCTCTATAGCAGGTCGGCAACATAACCTGGTGGACTACCTCCCACTCATTTGACAAGGGAGCACCCTGTGGTCTCCATTTTCTCATCAAAATCCGATCATTGTAGTAGTACCCAGTTGCTGCGTCTACAATTTCCTCCATAGAGACGGCTGTTT